AACGTAAATGCGCCACCCACCTTGAGATATAAGTTCTAAGGTCTCAGTATAGTTACAACGGCTGAACCACCTTTCAAGCCGCAACGCATTACTGCTTCACGGCAGAAATAGGCGGGGTGGTGGTACCTACCCGTGCGGACTCACATGAGGTCCTACCACCAGTGTGCACATTAGATTGCTGGTTGCTGCACGAAATTAAATTACTAAACGATAAACATATCTTAGTTTTCCTTTGGTATATAATACTGTTTTCCGATTACATATTTACTTCGGTTTACATCCTACAAAAAATTATAGTTAAGAATCTATAAATTATTCTACTGTAACAATAGCATTACGATTCAATGTGTATATAGGTATATTGCTGAATTATTTGCTTAAATAACCTCTATATTTACCAGATGGTTCGAAGACTTATTTTCACAATAATAGTTTATCGAGCGGCTAATCGGATGATACATTTGCGTTTTGTTTAACTCCGGTCTACTTCTCCAGACACTATAACTACCGACTTCCTCTTCGTTCGTAGGAGGTAGTTATCATACCTCAATTTTCACTGCTCCTTAATTCATTCCTTAAGTACTGATGGTAGAGCATGTTGTGGGCCCATAAGTAAAGCCTTAGTACGATCTAAGGACGGAATAATCGCCTTTCAAAAGCAATTTAGACAGCCGTTGGTAAGAGTTTAAAAAGAGGAAACTTCTTTGAATGGCTAATTAGTCTACTAATATCAATTCCAATAGCTTCTGAAAATTATTAGAATATAGTCAAATATAAAGCTTATTGGATGAATTTCTAAAAACAACTAAATAGTTCTTTTTTATAACACAATTAAAATTCTCAAACTCCCTAATGTTCGTTAGCGTACACACCGGAATGACATCATACGTAATATCGAGTAGAAATAAAAATCGACGCTTCGAATTGTGTCCAACACGAAGCAATAATATAAATCTTATGTATAAAGTGGCTCGTATTTCACCTTCGTCCGTAGGCACATCACGAGAGTTTACGCAGCACTGTAGGGGGATTCCAATAAAATCAGAATCGTAAAACTAAGACGGCGCGGCCATATAAAAATACCTAAGAAAGCATTAAGAACCGTCCCCTAATAATAAGTCCCGCCAGATGCACGGGACGGCCGACTGGAAAAGTCACATCGGTAACTCGAGCGAAGGAAATTATTTTTTTCGGTCTACCACACACGTCCCTTGCTGGCTCGACGAAAACTGGAGACCGTTTCCCTCACAGGAATCTCTTACACAAGCATTTTACTCTTAAAGCTTGTGGGAGCATATTAGCGGACGGTATATTTTTACCTAGAATATATTATTACGAACGAAACGTTCAGAAAATATGCTTCCATATTTTTTTTTTTCGAATGGGTTTATTTATAAATCTCCTCTAACTGTTTTGTAGTAGTTCTAGGATATATTCCGTAGAAAAATTCACGTCTCGTAGTGGTTAGTGGTGAACACCTAACTTTATACCAATTTACTGCAAAGCTTACTAAACTGAGTTTATTATCAACATTCAGCATATTTGTGGTGAGTGCATTTTTTATTTACCTGTGAATATTGGAAGGAATCTGAATCACCCTATTGATTGTGTGGATCTTGACGTTTCCATTAGTAACCAGCAATGACTTAGATACATAAATAGGGATGTTGAATTTATATATATCAAAATGAATTGCTGTTCGTTAGTCTCGCTAAGAGAAGGTTTAAAAGGTGAAAAATATGAAAATGCTCGGAATGAAATAAAAATAACAATTTTGTTTTTCCTTTGATGTATTATGCATTACGAAGTCTGTCGGGTCTGCTAGTTTTAAATAAAAACGTTTTGCCTTTGAAAAGTAATAATATAATCCACGGAAAGAATTAACGTTTTAGTCAAAACAACATTGCCGATATTTCTTCATTGATAGAAACGAGTAAGAACGAAATAATTAGGGTATTACGTTGGCCCGATCGACGAAAATCCCGTTTCACTGGTAAAGCTCGCATTTCACGGGATATTACCGGGTGTAATCTCGGGGCGAATAATTGCCGGTTGCACAGAACAACGCTGCTCATTAGTGCAATGTTCAATTAGGGAGCGTCGATGGACGTGAGTTCAGAGTACCGAACAACCGAGCCGTATTACAACTACTTTGCATCCGGTATGAACAGACATAGTTAGCCTCATTAAAATTGATTTTGAATACTCCCGATTTCAAGTACTTTGTACTAATTAAGATGCTTTGTTCCAAAAGATTTAAGTAGAAATTCTCGATTGTTCTCTAATTTAATTGGTAAACTAACTATGCATATTAATTGTAATGTTGAATAAAGTATTTGTGAGATTTGTTTTGTATACCTAATGAGTTAATTAGGATTTAAGGTAGAGTATTTTGATACAGGAATCTTGAAAAGATTGAAATCAACAAGTCAATTTTCATATTTTCTTGCAACGATAAGAGGATTTACTGTATTGTGATCAAGATGAAATCCAAGAAAATTTGCTCCCACTTTTTTCTGGCTTAATGTTATTCAATTTACTAGTGGTAGAGCGTAATATAAGCCTTATAACGTATTTTATTATATAGATAGCCGTTATATATGAAATAGTCGTTATAGAATAGAGTTGAGACATCGACAATGTTCTAACATACACTTACTATTCCTACGTCATTTATTAATCTGTAATTCAACTATAAATCATACAGGAACTTGAATTCGAATTCGTATTGACTCGTCCAGGTACGATACACGAAAGAAAAACATAAAACAAAAATTAGCCATTTAAAATTACCATCGTTGATTTATTTAGCAAAGTGATTGGCGGAATATTATCATCCTTGTACAGCGTCCATTTTTTCCCCTACTTAAAAACCATTATAACGAGAGCTCAGTTGGTGTCTAAGAGTCCTCCTAGATGAAATTACAAATCGCCTCCCAAGCCTCTACACAACGCCCCCATTTTTTTTTCAGGGTCTCTCACCGCCCCCCTTTAGGCTTGCAGCGCCCACAAGGGGGCGTTATCGCCCACTTTGGGAAAGGCTGGTGTACAGAGTAAAAAATAAGAAAAACATACTACATACATTAATATATAATACAATGGATCACAGCAGTCAATTTACTGATCTAATTTACGGATTATCGTTTTCTATAGGCACAGCTGATTCCGATCCGGTGGTAGATTGTGCGAATCACTGCTCTTGATAGGGCTAATGTTAGCATATTCTCTTAGGTTGAGCCCGTGAGCACACCAACCCGTCCGGGCGTAGCTGGAATTGCCCTTAGGTTATCAGCGAATAGGTATGGAAAATTACTTTTTGATTAAGATATGGTTAATGCATAATTTGTTTAAGTAAAAATTGAATTAATGACGACCAGCAGTGGTCGTCTGTGGGCTGATAGAATAGAAATAATGTATAATTATTAACAGATGGTCTCGTTAAAGAAAGTCCGAGATCAGCAAACAGCTACGGTCTCAGGAACGGTGAACCTAAATAAAATCGACTAATCAACAAACCTCATGTCTCAAGATGCGTGTCAATACATTACTGCTTCAGAGCAGCAATAGGCAAGGTAGTGGTACCCAACCGTGCGGATTCACAAAATGCTCTACCACCAGTTACACAACATATATAAAAATAATAATAATAATATGAAATGGAAATGTAATTTCAGGTCTTTGAGGATAAAGGGAATGTCTTCCACCGAGAGATCGCCACTGGTCGGAAGACAGACAGACTCAATACAAATACATTAGTGTAAAATCCAAACGAATTCAAAATCGAATGTAGCTCTTAGGAACTTACCTGTGCAAACTGATCTTGAAAATGTCGAGTGATTCAGGTTTTTCCAAATACCTTATCTTTCTTTTTTTGTGATGGAGGGGTTACTGGTGCCTTTCCAGAAGCCTTTCCAGTTTCACCAGAGCATATGGGCGCGCAAAGGCTCAGCCAAGAGGGTTGGGATTTGCTAACAGCTGCCCGAGCACCTCCAAAGGAGACCTAACTACTAAAAAGCAGCTGCTTCGCGAATGAATCTACTACCGAATCGGAATCGCGACCCGCTGAGAAGATCCGGCGAAAAACTCATCGGGCTGATGTTTAGGTTGGGTTACACGTCGAACTCTTTGCCGAGTTCGACGAGTACGGTTACCGGAGTCCTTAAACCTACTCCTAGTATTAGAGCTAAAAGAGTCTTGTGCAAAGGTAAATTTTCTTTCTGTGATTGCCAATGCTATGCTATGCTATGCTAACCTACGAAAATTAATTACATAAAAATGTGTATATTTTATCACAAACTTTTTAAACTAATACATTTTTAAATTATCTACTGGACATAAATATCAATTTATTTTGAAAATAAAAATGCGTAGTTTTTAATTAATAATTTTTTATTCTATCTTAAATAAATGAAAAAAGAACAAAAATTGTGGAAAATTCATTTAAAAAAATTATGTCCGCGTGGTTCTTTAAGGTAAAGTTAATTAAATAAATAATTTACAAAAAAATCGTGCTCATATGTGCCAATGTCCCTGAAAAGGTTAAATTATCAAATCTTACTTTGGAAAAATTACACGTACACGTAATTATTCCACGATAGATTTGCAAGATTTCCATGCAGAATTTATAATGATGAAATAAATTAAATACCTAACTAATAAGATGATTTAAACAATAACATAGATTTTATTAAAAGGTTTAGAAAAGTATTGTTGTTCTACTTTATTCTTCAATGTTTATGTGAAATACCATCGTTCAAAAAAATAACAAAGATGTATACTCGAAATTTAGATCAATTACTAATTGAACGTAGCATAGTAATGCTATTCTATAATTAAACAATTTAATATATCAAAAACGCTTTATGTAATGATTAATATCTACGAAAATAAATTTGATTTTTTTTTAGACAAGGCTTGATCTTACCCTTCGAATAGAAATAGGCCTAACAGAAGATTTATCTAGTGTAACCAAAAATGTTATATTAAAGTATTATACTTACAACCATCGTATCGCCTTCGATGAAGTTGGTAAAAACACAAAGAAAATAATACAAACATAAAACACAAAGTAATGCATCACAAAGTAGAATTCGTGATTTATTAATTCTAGCACTATTTACGCGAATATTTTAGGCGCGAAAACGTCGGCATTCGGATTCAGTACTGGAATAAACTGGGGAGCGGACGCAGCACGACTGAACACCGCCGAGATGCGTCTGCGATATAACGCGGAGTGACGACTGTCGACCACCTCTGCTATTCGCGGCCACTGGTCAGGCAGACAGGCCCGCCGTATCCACTACTGCTCAAAGACTATTCCGTAGATTAGATACCTATAGCCATCCTACTTCGGTGATTTGTATAATCTATACATTACTACGATATTTCATACAAAACAAAAATTATTATCTTATATTTACATTACACGCTGCACATACTATCATTATTCTCCTTAGTAACTTATGAATTATTTGAAGGATGCTTGTGTACTTTTCGTTACTGGTATAGAATGTTTTTAAATGTTAGAAGTCCTATCTTTTATTAGCAATCGCAAGAGCTACTTTATAAAGAAATTTAAATTTATTGTGCACACGCAAAACAATAAAGATATTTCAAGTATGTTGGTATAACGTTTTATGAATTTGAATCTAGAAAAAAATCTTCTGAGAGACATTACGTTTAGGCATTTATTAAATTCCTTTGTCCGTTGAATCGTTGAGTCGGGCGGGCGGGCGGCCACGCTCCCCACGCAAACGGTACAACCCACTTATCAATTCAGTCGAGTGGGCATTCATTCATTGTGAAGCATTGTACCTATTATGTGCAGATTCGGTGCCTTTTTAACGGAGCACGTTATCGACTTCTCGAACATGTTTCTTTTTAGAACAAACAACCTCATTGTACTTACGATTCTCCACTTAAAATATTCTGTGGGAATTTAAATGATACGATGTGCTTAATTACGTCTGTCGTTTATTTTATCTCTATTTTGAAGTGAAATAATTGAAGTAATCTTGAATTTTTCCATAAAAAAACATTCTAGATTCAATAATATAATAATATGCTTACTATAATAATCCTTTGATACATTCTTATTTAAATTTAACAAATCATTTAAAATAGTAAACTCTGGTATGTCGGTATATATAAGATAATTATTAAAAAATATAAACGGTGACCTATAAAGTAAAAGAAACAAATCAGCAATTTATTAAATAAATAGTAATTTGTTGGCGCACATCTACAGAACTGTTGCATAGACTTTTTTAACTTTATAGAGGTTTTTGAATTTGGAGCAAATTATACCTAATCGAATGTTGTAAAAAGCTATAATCATCTAAAGTATGAAAACTTTTAGCACCCTGGGGAAATAATTTACGCCAGTTTTCATCCTAGTGCTGAGCACGAGTATTTCTCTTTTTTTTATTGCTTAGATGGGTGGACGAGCTCATGGCCTACCTAGTGTTAAGTGCAGAGCCCATAGACATCCACAACGTAAATGCCTCTACTCACATTGAGAAATGAGTTCTAATGTCTCACAACTGCACCACCTTTCGAACAGAAAAGCCTCACTGCTTCAATGCAGAAATTGGCAGGGTGGTGGTTCCTAATCGTGCGGACCAGTAATTATGCAAATTATGCGGGTTTGATTTTTATCACACGATGCTATTCCTTCACTGTGTAAGATAATCGTGAACATTTGTTAAGTACGTATTTCATTAGAAAAATTGGTACCTACCGGCGGGATTCGAACACAGGTGCATCGCTAGATACGAATGAACCGGACGTCTTATCCTTTAGGCCACGACGACTTCGGCACGATGATGATGGCTACAGGTGCTGAAATAATAGGTTGAGGAAAAAGTCTTTTCGTATTATAGTATGATTATAGAATGATAATTGTTCTATACTCTTCGTATATACTGTGTTACTTATAATATTTTGTATTCAAGTTTAACAATATTTGCTATGTGTATGTGCATTATTATGATTCTCGTGTTGTATTTGTTATTTTATCTGTTCTACACACACTCATCACTTTTAATTATTATTCTCATAATCCTCTCGCAGGTCTGCTGGAAGAGATTTCTTAAAGAAATAAGCAGTGACTTTGTACATAATTTTCCTATTACTCTGTCTTTTTTTTCTGTGTACTTATAAAAAAAAAGTGTGAACTTGTAACAAAACTCTTTTTGGCTATACTTTTTGTATCTGGCTGGTTTTGGTATCATTAAAAGTTTAAATTTTAAAGAAGATAATTCCAAATTCAAGTTAGGAAAATGTGTGATTTTTATTTATTTTTCGTACTGTCAAGATGAGTGAATCTAATGAAGAAATTCGATACATTTTAAAATTTAACTACAAAAAAGGTAAAAATACTACGCAAGCCGCGAAAAAAATTTGCGATGTTTATGGACCTAGTGCAGTCAGTGTCTGTGAGAGTAGCACTTTGGTATAAGCGTTTTCAATCTGGAAATTTTGGTGTCAAAGATGCACGTCGCTCTGGTCGCCCTATTACAGATAAAATGCGAATAAAAAACATTTCAACTGAGTAAAATGGGTTACCAAAAATCGGGTTACTCGAGGTTTTTATTTTTTTACAATTTTTGTTGTTGTTATGAAACTAACAAGTATTGTACCATTTTACAATCCTGATTAAATGCGAGAACTTTTAATGGCACTTGCCAGGGCACTTTAGTAAATTTTTTTAAAGGAGGGCCTTTCAAGGTCGACAAATTTTGAAAATTTTAGATTCATAGTTTAACAAATAGTCTTAATTCTAGAAAACTTGGGGCAGTTGTGTCATTATTTTTGACTGTGGTTCTAGAAATGTTATTGACGGTTCCAAAGTTTGTTCATTTAAGAACAAAAATAATAAAAATTAACCAAAATAACCGAAAAATGGTTACAGTTTGACCAAATTTCTAGGTTTTTCTTAAATGCCCATAATTTCCAAAATGCCTGGGATATATTTTTTCCGATTTTTCTCATGAAGGTTACAATCAATCCTGTCACCCCGTTTCGACTTGACGTTGAGTTCTGGGACACCCTGTATATTTTTTTTTCCACAAAATAAAACTCAGTTATTATTTAAATCGCAGGTCATAGAGTTCGTATCATAAGCTTTATTTACAGCCAAATATTACATAATATCACATTTATTACTAAAAAAATCTTATGAAATTGCAAGGAGATACATTATTCAGACAACGGGTTAGTTGAATGAGTATCAAGTAATTCAGTAAAAAGGAAAAGGTTTCTTATTTACAAAAGTTATATTTTGTAGAGTAGTAATTTGAGTGAAATGTCACGTGCTGTTTTTTTGCCAACAATACAGGTTGGCCAAGACTCAGCTAAGAAGCAGGCAAATTGATATAAAGTAAACGCTAAGTGCCAAGACTTACTCGTTTATAAGATTAATGCTATACAAAACATGTATGAAAACAAAGTAACTTGTCCAGTCTTGTCAAGCGCAGGCGAACCCCGTTAATTTATACATAAAAACCGATATTGGTAAACCAGCAATTAAGAGCAACAGAGAGGCTAGATCAGCGGTCGGGGATCTGGGGTAAATTACCCCAAATGGGGTAAAATTAAATTTTGGGGTGTAAAAATGAAACTTTTGTGAGTAAAAAGTATATATTGAAGTGAAACTTCTTTAGAATCGTTGTGACTTCAAACTCGATGAAACGAAATGAAAAAATATAATTTTTTTAAAATTCAAAATTTTCATAGGGGCTAAATATGAAAGATGCTAAAAAGAACCGATTACGTTTTTTTTTGTTCTTCGCCAGGAGGTAATATCAATTTACACAAAAATATTTTGGGGTAATAATTAATAAAGTTCCCCGACCGCTGGGCTAGACTAATTGCTGCTTACAACTTGCCACTGCCTGCCTAAAACATGTATTGTTAACTTAACAGCTACATATTAAAAAATATATGAGAAATCATCAAATTTATTTGTTTAACGTACCACCATAATCAACATATTGACATTTTTACAGTTGTAAATAGATAAATGAATGCCAAGAAGTTTTTAACAAACGATTGGCAATAGGTATTTTCTCATAATCAATTCTTCTTAGATTGTTTGATATAGGTGAAGTTGAGCTTCTGTGGCTGTCAGGCGAGATGAGAGAGGTCGTCTAGTTCAGGCGGAGGTTGTGGTCCGCCGCCCCCACGAGCGAAGACGGGCTTCGCCACCACCGACACCGGTGCCTATAGTAAAACATTTTTATATTAAATACGAAATTTTTCGTGATCCAGAATTTATTTTCGCTCCTAACAAAAGTCCTAATATCGTACATTAGGATATACGACATAGTCATGTTGTGATGACTATTTTATAGGTAAGATCGTAAAAAATAACGATTAAGGATTTTTGTACAATTAGAATTAATTATTGTTTTATTGATAGTGAATGAAAGTTAAAACAATTCAAACAAACAATAAAAAATTTAAATGAACACTTATCTCCGGGAAGGTACTTACACAATTAAAAAACTATTTCATCTTTCAATCGCAAATACAGAATGAAGCTCCCGTTAAATTAATCTATACCTGTAATGTGTAAATTATGTGCTAGTAATCATTTAGTATATTATATATTCTTACGAACAGGATACGATCGTGTTCTTGGTAAATTATTAATTTCGTGATTTTTTTTTTTATTTCTTCAAAAGGGAGAATTGTAGTAGGTACTTTTCGCTTCGTTAATATAATTAAAGAGATAAAAGACTGTGATGCATACAATACAACTCGCCTAGTATATCATTCAAATCCACCCAGAAAAGCAATAAAGAAAGCATCAAAGTGGTTCTATGATCCTAAAGAGTGTATGATGTATGTGTGTGCGTGTGCGTTTGCGTGTGTTTTGTGTGTGTTGTGTTGTCTGTGTTGTGTTGTGTGTGTGTGATTTTTGTATATGCGTGTGTGTGTGTTTTATGTATACGTGTGTGTGATTTTTTGGGTACGTGTGCCTGTGCGTGGTGATGTGTTTGTGCGTGTAGTGTGGGTGCGCGTCACAAACCTGGCTGACCTGTCCTTGGTTGTGCTGCGGCTGCACTCCGACGACCATCACCTTCTGCGCTGCGCCGCCCGGCGCCGGTCCGCTCGTCACCACCACCGACTACACGTGCACAACCCACACGCTTAACTACTACGCCTTCGTGTGACGCTACGTTGCGTACGTATTACGCTTATTAGAATCCATAGCAAAAACGTTTCGTTTTACGTTAAATATGCATCTCTCCAACAGTGGACTGCCGCAGGCTGATGATGATGATGCATCTCTTTATGATAACATAAAATTTGCGTATGACAACCATAACATACGTTGTATGTTCGGCGTATTCTGTCGTTTTTTTTTTTTAAGTTGTGTTTTTAAGTTAAAAATGATTTATTTTTTATTGTAAAACTGGTTTATTATTATTTATTTATATTAACAACAATTACTATTTGAAATGTCGAAAATGTAATCGAACGTAATAATTCAGTTTCTATTTCCCTGAACTTACACGGTAAAAACTCTTGATTCCGTGAATATGCCGCGAATAATAAAATCTTTAGCCGCGCATGTAGGAATTGGGTGGCATTTTTTTAATCCGCAAATAGTGAAAACACGAATGATGGAAGCCCGAGTAATGAGCTTTTACTGTACAAAACCGTCCTGTGTGATTCATTGATTAATACAGAGCCTAAGCTGCGAGGACTACTAATAGGAAATTTTGGCAAATAATGAGCCATATGCTGTAAGCAAGATTTATTTATTTCACCCATGCGTAAAATATGGTTGTCAACTATTATATGAAAGTATATAATTTCAAAGTAAACACTTTCTTTTTGCCTCTGCTCAGAAATAAACGTACATGTATATCGGGTCTTTTTCAAATTTTCACCCCAAAGAGGGGTAAAAAATTACACATGGGAAGTTCGTAAGTTTAGAAACATGAAACTCAACATTAAAGCTTCTTATGTAATATTTAGGAAATAATATATGACAATGTCCTCCTCATTTACCCGTGCGAAGTCTGGGGACTAGGATCTCGTAAGCCATACGTAAATATATTATTATATATATGTATATTATTTACAACAACAACAAAAGTAGATCATATTTCTTTTGATTGACAAAAAAATTACAACGCGTATCTAGTAAATAAGTGTAGCTTAATATTTTTATTAATTTATTATTATTAATTATTCTTAATAACTTCAAAAACAATCCAACGTTCCTATTAAAAGTAGTTGCTTATAGTTCTTTGTTTTTAAACCAACATACGTCATGTAATTCCGTGCAAATTTTCAAATTACAAATATTTGATTTTCTCATGCTTTTTGGTGAGGACTCATGCTACGTCTACCTTTTTGTGCAGTTTACCATTTCTTGATTTAAGTAAACCAACCTTGTGGATAAATCCAGATTGCGGACCATACCGTCCAAGATTAGCTTAGGACATCACACCTCTCAAAAAACTAGTCTTATCGTGAACGTTCAAAGGTTATCCAAGACTTGTTAACAATACAAAGGTATCGTGAACTATGGTAAGCTTAGACGATATGTCAGCAATATACCTAAAAACGTCCAAAAGACAACATCAAGCTGAGGTCCAAGATGCTCCGGTCTATTCTAAATTTCTCACTCATTCGTGTTAAATTGCTAGTTCAGTTAATGCATACCTGAACGTTTTGACTCCTCACTATGGTTGGCTGCGAACTGTGTACTACGATGTGCCCCGTACCGCTCGAAGATTGAATCTGATTTGAACAAAACCAATCTTTCGATATTCAATTACAATCGATTCGGATTATCCAATCACTCTCGGAAAAACTTTACTGTACATACAGGGTGTTGTTGACACGACTGTTTTTACTCAGAATTTTATTTTATTAATCTCCTAATTCGAGATAACTTTTAAAACAAAACAAAGGTGCACGAATTACATAACAAGCCCAACAATAATTGAGAAGAACCTTTGATTTTATACTTGTATTCTAAACACTCTAATTAGTAATTGTTGACGGAACGAAATAAAAAAGTTAATGATTGTTAATTTAATTTTTGTAATTTTTATGTATTTTCATAAGTGTAGTATGGTCACCTTAGTATTGTATTGTAATTGTTTTTTTTTTAATATACCTGAGTAGGTTTTTGCTGAGACGCGACAATGACAAATTTCTGTGGCGGCGGAGTAGACGGGGCCGGTGATTGTGGCGTCGATGACGCTATCACCAGGTTACGAGTGGTCACTGTTTCTGTAAAAACCAATGTTACTTTAAGTTTACTCTTCATACCTTCGTTCCAAATTTAAAAACTCCTATGTGACATTTTAGGCCAAAACGATGTTTTCATATAATAAGAAAGTCGTTTTTAATACATCTACTCGGCAAATACTCCGATGTGCGTATCTCAATACAAATTTCACTATATTACGCGTCAATCTTAAAAAATCCTAACACCGGTCACTCACATGCGCACGAATATGCAAAACCACAAGTGTAGGACGACATTTGCGAATGATTATGCAGTTTTCGCTGCATTCGTGGTTTTCCAAGCTGTGTCGGTTTTTTAACAGACATCAAAGCGCGCGAACCTCGAACCTTCGCGTAGTCTCCCACACATTCGCTTGTCCAGTTGCGCCGACGATTGCGAAGGTAACGGACGTATACTATACGCCATTTTCATAGTTCGTGACGTCTACTGTGTAGCGTATCTTCATCAAAAGAAATCCCATAAAAACAGCATGGCTGTTAATGATGTCTGGGAAAGAATTAAAAACTCTTTTTCTCTTCAATGTTCTATTGACGAATTAAAAAGGAGGAGAAATTCGTGAGACATTCGTAAACAAGTGTAGGAGGAAGCGCAAACGGGTTCGCAAATTGAGTATGCGAACCCATTTGCACAGCCGCTAGGTTTGCGAATGAATGTTTGACGGCCCTTCACATGCGCGCAAACATTCGTACATTGTACGTACATTGTACGAATGTTTGCGCGCATGTCAGTGGCCGACATAATTAGTGCCGGTTTGCATTTTATTGTAGAACAAAGTATCCTATGTGCTAAAGAAATGTTTGCATTTTTTTTCTTTTCAGGAGGTGGTTTTAATCGATTTTCTCGAAAACTACATTAATACACATATGAGGTTTCAAATTTGCAACGACGATATATTGCTTATAGGAACACTCACACAAGCAAATCTTTCATTCAACTGATACAAAAAAAACTAAAATTACATTTTTAACTCAAACAACTTTATTGTTTTATTGAAAGTGAAGTTTAAATTTAATCCTGGGTTAACAATATTTTTTTCGGAAAATGGATTTTCGTGCGTGATATTGTTTGTCCAGTAGATTGTACCAGTCTAGTGTTAGCAACACTCCTGGCTTGAGCCCGGTTAGCTCACCTACACGTCAAGGCGAAGCTGAAATAGCCTCTCAAGGTTAGCAGCATCATCATCATTCTTTCCTATTACCCTCTGCTGGGGTCGAATCAAACCTTTCCATTTACATCGGTCTTGGGCAGTCTGTGCTAACTCCTCCCACGTCATGTCCAAGACACCTAGCTCCTGCTCCACTAGCAGGCTAGCAGCATAGGTAGGAAAAAAACTTACCAGTCTTTGTAGTATGCGATATATTGGAAGGCGAAGGCGAGGGCGCGGTAGGCAATAGGGGCGGCGTGCAGGTGACTACCGCCACGGCGCCTCCTGCGGTACTGCACGAGGGAGACGAGCGTATCTTGCTGACGGCTTGTTGGAGACTCGGACCCAGGTACCCGAAGTCGCGCCTGTCGCAATCATTTTTAATAGTTTCAAAACTAAGTTAAGTTTTATGAAATGTATTTTTTTATCTCTCTTTTCTTAATTTGAAGAGGAATTAGTTGTTTTTATTAAAATATTGGATATGAATAAATATGCTTGGCTTACACTATCGATTAGATCATTACACACATTCTCATATTAATTATTGTGTCGCCAGAGCAAACTACGAACACACATTTCTTTAGAAAATAGCGCAATAAAACCTTATGTTTTCGACTCGGTCATGACAAAGCAAGTAATGGCTTACAAAGTAGACCAATTATATGGGTGAGCCACGGTAGCGTTTTGTGTTAAGTCAATAAAATTACAAATCTTTTTATGTCTAGGCAAAAAAAAAGTTTTTAATCTTGCCAGACATTTTCCTCCGATATTTGTATTTTAATCTATACTAATATATAAATCTACAATAGTTTTTACGGATGTTCCGTTATAACATAATATATAGGTTAATATTTATATGAGCGTTGGACTACCTAATAATAATGACAATAAATAATAATGTTAATTTTAAATGCCCAGCGAAGCGGGAGAGTACGGCTAGTTATTTATAAAAAGACATTGCAAATGAACACGACAATTGCTAGTGTACGGCAATAGCTCTTCTCCTACTTTATTATTCAATAAAAATCGAATAGTTTATAATCTAACCTTTTCTCTGTAATTGAAAGAGGACATGCGATGTAAAAAACGTTTTGTTAGCGTGATATGTCATTCTTATTACCTACTTTATTTTGTATGAAAATGTCAGATTGTAACTTTTCTAACGTTATATTAAAAAATAAATATACGTGTAACGGCTTTAATGGGACTTTTAAGTATGACAATGACTAACAGAAGTACAAATCACTAAAGTATTCTAGAAGTATTTTTAAAGCCGTTAAATAATAACTTGTTTATTTGTGAACTTGAATAAAACAGTATACTTGAATCTCATATAGATCTGATATACATATCTATAATATAATGTATGTCTTTGTATGTAATTTATCTATGTAAATCTGATATAAAAAAATGTTCATAGATATGTAATCATTTCACTTGGCTATTTTTGGACTAAAAATTAACGTAATTTTAAATGTGGCTTTCATGAAAAAAAAAATTACACAGTGTAGCATTCCAACCGCATTCTATGCTATTTTTGGAATTAGAGGGTATGTATGCCGGGATTCTGCTGGACCGATTCTTATGATTATTTTTGCATTGCACTTGTGTGTCCCTGGACAATTTCAAATTACAATTGGACCCGTTAAGTCTTTATTATTATTATCAGGAAACCCACTGAGTTTCCCGCCGGATCTTCTCAGTGGGTCGCCTTTCCGATTCGGTGGTAGATTCTGCGGAGCACGGCTCTTGCTAGAGTTTGTGCTAGCAACGTCGTCAGGTTTGAGCCCCGTGAGCTCACCTACTAGTTAAGGTTCCGCTTATATAGCCCCTCAAGGCTATCAGCTTAAGTAGGAAAAAAATAAAATATCAGGATAAGACAATTTCCGGGCCCACTCATAAAATATATATATACTATTATCAATATTGTCGTATATATATATACTCATCTCATAATTACATTATATAGAATCATCACAAGTAAAATCAAACGCGAATGGTTGGGATAGTAATTCTTCATCAAGAACAGTGTATGATACTCCGTCACTCATATTATTATCAACAATATTTCGAGTTAATTTTTCGAGGTCCACAATGTAATTAAGATACAAAATAAACATCCATTCAGCATACCGACTAGAGGCAAATGTAGCAATAAAAAAAAAAAAAGTGGTTAGCTGATGGTCTCAAACACACCTGTATAACTAGTACCTATGCTCAGACGGATAGCAGAAACCATGTAGCGAAAAAAGAATACTATGGTAATCTATATAAAAATATTTCCAATTTATAGAGGAAGAAAAAAATACTATTAAGCACCATGTTCTTCTGTGTTTAATCACTGATATTCTTTTTGTTCATTAGCTATTTATTGAAGATCTTTAGACTTTTTTTTGACATTGTTTATTTTCTAAACGTCAATAAGAAATAAAGAAAATGTTATACAGTACCCGGCGATAAATATTACACATCGACCGTGGGAAAGAGACGGTTAATTTTTGCTTTGTAGAGCGTTATATCTATCGCACATTACCTAATTGACATTTAATCTCCATCGATACGGGATCGTTGGTGTTTCATCGCACACAGATAACGCTCTACAATAATAACAAAATTAGACGACAGTCTCTTTCTAAATATCGATATGCCGATATCGATATAAATATTTATTGCCTGGTACCTGTACCTAGGTATATAAAATTAATCTAAATTTTTAGGTGTCAATACATATGCGCGAATATCGACGATCACTGACCGGACATGAGTAATAAAATGTTCAATAGGAAATCAACAGGACGATTCGTGTATAAGACGTGACTGACTTGTAGTCTTCGGGTTGGTCGGGCGGTTGCCGCAGTTGTCGGACGACGGGGGCCAGGACCTTCAGCAGCTGGTGCTTGAGGTTGCCGGCCGCCAGTCGGTCCGCGCCACCGATACCGCTCAGCGCGCCCTCCACGCGCTCTCCCAACCAACGCACGCGCGGCAGAATGAACACCTGTAAAAAAGGCGTCATCTTACCAGATCTAACATGAATCGTCAGATTATCACGCCTACGCAGGGTCGGATTGAAACATAATGCTGCTCCTCGGTACCGGAAAAAATTCTGGTGGTAGGACCTCTTGTGAGTCCGCGCGGGTAGGTACCACCGCCCTGTCTATTTCTGCCGTGAAGCAGTCATGCGTTTCGGTTTGAAGGGTGGGGCAGCCGTTGTAACTATACTGAGATCTTAGAACTTATATCTCAAGGTGGGTGGCGCATGTACGTTGTAGATGTCTATGGGCTCCAGTAACCACTTAACACCAGGTGGGCTGTGAGCTCGTCCACCCATCTAAACAATAAAAAAAAACCGTGCCAATACTGGAATTTTACCTAAACTTATAATTTATATACTTTATTTTTCAAAATTAGGATGACTAATTTATTGCGGAAACTTTATCATATGTCATATATTTCAAAAACATAAATAAATATATATATTTTTTCCTAACAATTACAAATTTTGACTAAGGGTGACTCGACTCATAATTATATTACATAAAAAAATAATTATATTTCTTTAATTACAGAAAATAGAAAAATCTATTATTATTTTAAATCTCCAAGGAAATAAATTGATTAAATCATTTTGATTATTAATTTTTACCAAAAGTGGCAAAATTATAATTGACAAATAATGGATGAATTGAATTTCTTGAATTATCAATTAAAAAGGAAATTATTAATTATTAGAATTAATTAATTATATTGAGCAATATTGATAAAACTAAAAAAAAATACTTTAAAAATTTTGCCGCCCTAAAAAATATGCCGGCCTGGGCACTTGCCCCGACTGCCCCTAGTGTAAATCCACCACTGCGCCTACGTGTCTGCGCCGCGGGTACACAGCCATCAAATTCAACTAAAAACCCGGCGTGCATAAGTTAATTCACGCACGACAATGTTTAACGCGCCTATGTAGAGGGCGCTGCGTGACGGCGTCAGTGTGCTTAGTGCGAGTTTTTTAAGGTTCTCGATGGCGTAAAAGTTAGCTTATATTCGTACAGAATGGGATCTTTTACATACGTTTGCCACTAGGGGCGCTGTTCCAACTGCATACAAAATTGGGCTAACTTTCACGCTATCGAGAACGTTAAAAAACTCGCACTAAGCATACAGATAACTCACTTTAACGACTTCGGGGCCCAGCTCTGCCAATCCTTGCACGGCTCCATACAGCGACGCGAGAGGAGTCTTCTCCGATTCCTTCATGCTCGCCATAGAAGGACCCGTTTCGTTGTTTGTTTGTGAAGGGCATTGGAGGGCTTTCGCGAACAACCTGAGCGCAAAGAATTTTCGTATAGTAACTACCAGATACATTGTGTGACTTTAAAATTTATTCAAACTAAAATACCTGGTGACTCTCGTTTGTAGATTATTGGTTGAAGTATTGAATGTTTTGCATATCTGAGCCATGAGTCGCGCGGCGAAATCTCGCAGGGCCCAGTGGTTATCCATCTCGGGACGAAGGCACAGCTGTCGTGATACTATGCATGTCGACACGGACGGAATCAACTCGTGTAACTGCCCAAACAATACAATTTACTTATTAAATATGCAATTACCTATAGACATGTATGAGTATCAAATATTGAAGCGTGACCGTAGAGAGAATGGCCTATGGACTCTTATGCCATGGTCTAGATTGGACAGATAACATTTTGTCTAGAAAATACGCATCTAAGACGTGTTTACGAATGAATCCTACAATGCAGGAATAATATTTGTCTCATGTATGATCATAAAATCTAAACCTCCAATTTTATGATGTGCAACTGCGAAACGAGTGTCAAGACGTATTAGTGGGCATGCACCGCCTTATTTTTATTAAGCAGTATCGTTTTATTCGTCGTTTAAGCGACATTTCGTTTAATACGCGACACATTTATCTTTGTAATTCGGTGTATTCGTGACATTTATCTTTATAATTCGGTGTATTCGTGACATTTATCTTTGTAATTCGGTGTATTCGTGACATTGATCTTTGTAATTCGGTGTATTCGTGACATTTATCTTTGTAATTCGGTGTATTGTTGTAATCTTGTATTATGTTCGGTTGTAATGAACTTCAATTAATTAGCTTTACTCCATTCAAGTAGCTCAAGAAGTTTTTTTCACCCTTTGATATACATTCTTCTCGTTGACTAAACTTAATGAAGATATACATACTACTTTTATATTCATTAATTGAAGTAAAGACACTGCAATAAAAAGTGGAAAATCCCAACATGGATGTCATTCACATTGTGGAATATACAAGCTTGCATGATCAAAGTAAATAAATAAAGTGAGTAATTTTTATCTGCTAATAATATTTATCTCTAAAGTAGTTAGTCTAACATATATTTGTTTGTGCTGTTCTTAAAACCACAGATTCGCGTATGGAAAAACCGACCAAATTTATTTGTATTTAGATTTAATAATTTTTTCCCTCTCTAAGCACCTGTCATTTTTGTAAATACTTTGACATTGGCAAAATCAATGCCAAGGGCGTTGGAGCCAAATTATCTAAAAGAAGAAGAAGAAGAAGTGAATAAATAATGTAAGTACACATTTATTGAATTTGAAATTTAATGATTTTTATCTTGAGGCTCAATTCACAGTTTCAACATTTGATAATGTGACGAAGGTTCTCCATAATTTTGTTATTAATATGAATAACTACTCACATATTTTTCCAAATATAGTGACTGGTTATCAAGTAGTGCCTTAACCATTCGCATCAGGTAAATGAGAAGAGCCAGATTGTTTTGTACGACATTAACCTTCACACCTTCAGATATAAAAGTACACATTCTGGGCAACATCTCGTGTAGTCCTGGGTCACAAGCTAAGGACTGGAGCGCTTCCTGCAAGATGAAGAAATTTGTAAAGCAGAATACAAAATTAATTTTTTTCAATTATTTCAGATCTTGCACAAATAGAATAACATACATATAGGATATCTAAACCTATTAGAAAATTGTATACTTTGTAAAAAGAATGGTTGGTGAACTTTGCCACCAGTTATATATTTAGTGAGTTAGGTCTTGTTTAGACTACACTTGAACAGCAATGGAAAGTTAAATATAGACATCTAGACATCTTTTGCTTAGATGTGTGGACGAGCTCACGCCCACCTGGTGTTAAGTGGTTACTGGAGCCCATAGACATTTACCAGAAATTGTTTTCATATAGTAAAAAATTTCTGCCGTGAAGCAGTAATGCGTTTCGATTTGAAGGGTGGGGCAGCCGTTGTGTCTATACTGAGACCTTAGAACTATATCTCAAGGTGTGTGGCGCATTTACGTTGTGGATGTCTATGGGCTCCAGTAACCACTTAACACCAGGTGGGCTGTAAGCCCTACCCATCTAAGTAATATGGATATGGTTTTCCATAATAATATTGTGAAATAGTTTCTTTCAATATATCTACTATAAATATAATTATGTAATGTATTTAATGAGAAGATATGCTACTTTTTAAGATTCAATATTAAATGGAAGAAAAAAATTATATGGTGTTCATTGTTTTTTTTTTCTTTCTATCAGACTAGTTACTTACAGCACGTCTCGTTTCATCACTGCCAACACAGGCCTCTGTGATTTCTTTATAATAGAGCTGCTGTTCAACACTCAATTCATGGGTAGCAAGCTGTTTAACATGCACAGATTCTGATGCTTTCAATCTTGCTGCTTTGCCACATATAGGTTTACCTGTAATATTTATATTTATAAAAAAATATTATCTTTCACACCCGCATAGTATCGCTTTTTTTTTAAATTGTAGCAGTGGTAAAAAAATGAGGTTATGATTCCAATGTTTATTCCTATACGTATATTTGTGTCAAAATATCATTTGCAATAATCTCTTGAAAATACTAAATAACTTGTTACTTGTGTACTTTAATTCAGATAATTCAATCAGAATCCATATTAAGCCCTACCAATTATATTCTTCCAGTTTTGTATCTTTTCTACCATAAGTAAAATTAATTAAACCCTGTGATATTCCTATCAAAACAACTGTTATAGTTATCTAACCTGCAGAATCTTTATTGCTTGGTTTACTCAGTTTACTTATTGGATCAACAGATTCAAGTTTCTGAGCTTCTTTTGAAAGCGGTGGTGGATTTTCAGGTACTGTTGGTTGAACCCCATCCACACTTAGCCAATGTGCACGAACAGATACATCCAATGGAACCTTTGGAGGTGGTGCTGATAGAATCTCCGAGAGATCTATCTCTTTTTCTTCAATGAAATGGAGTTCTCTACCTCCTCCAGATGCGAACCTAAATGGCAGCGAATCAGGCTGAATAAATCCATATTGACACTAAAATGAATGAAATAATATAATGAATTAAAAAAAAATATTGTTAATTTATCATAGGAGAGCGTGGAACACTTAAAGCCATATTTAAATATTGCTTTAACTGAAGATATTAAAATACCTCATTGTTTTTTATCTTCAGGGCATGATCTATATCTGTAATGGAAAGTTTTTGTCTCTTTGAGTGATGCATGAACTTCATGGCATCTTGAACAATCACTTTCAAGCGATATGTAACATCATCAGCGAGTTCCTTAGCAGCGTCATCGCCAAGAGTGGCGATACCAACACTCTCTGCTATCACTTTCATGGAATCCAACGTTAACGAAGATCCATAAGCCAATTCTGAGTCGCCCATGATAGAAATTAAATCTATAAAAAAATAAGGTTTTGGTTTATGAAAGTTGTTAAAGTTCTCAATTCAATCAAAGGGAGCATATGAATACCTTTAAGATACGTTGACTACAGCATTAAACAATGATTTATCACCAAATTGGTTACGATTACGATAGACCCCTTGTATCACTGTATTCTTTGGGTTAATCTTTAATTTTTTATTCCTGATTTTTTCCTGTTGTGATAAGGTAAAGTTAATTAATGTAGATAAGTAGGCAGGTATGTAACTATATACCCTCATTTATTTACTATTTGGATAAAAGTAGACATTCTACCATAGATTTTTTTGGTACAACTTATTCTTCTTCTTAGTTTTTGGATCCGGCACGGTTTGTGCATTAGCCAGCGTCAAGTAATAAGATTTTTAGGAATCGCCGTTTTAAGTAGGTATTTACAGTTTATGAATAATAAAAAACGAAGGAAACTTAATCAATTGGCATGAAATGCTGCTTATGCTGCCTATGCTCTATTATTTGTCTTGAGTGTGAAAAAACTGGATGAAGCTATTTTATGCCAATATTATGGACATGTCACACCCAAAATTAAAACTACGGTCTCATGCCATAAGATGGGTGTAGATTATAATGTCTATGGGATCAAGTTGAGTGCATGAGCTAAGGATTGCGTAATTTATGATTTTTTGAATAAGCCAAGTAAATTTTATTACAACAAATAGAAACCATATTTTTTTACATTTTTAAGCATTGCTTTATAAAATTGTTCAGTAATGCATGCCACAGAAAAGTATTCCAGAAAATGAACAGATATGAAACAAACAAAATTTTTAAATTTGTGGTACGTTTTGAGCTCATTTTTATTAGGCTTGTTCTTGCTCGGACACGGAACGGAGCGATCCGTACTAGGACAATTTGTCAGATGTCCTAATTCAGTCTTTTAGTACATTTAGTACAGTTTAGTACACAGAACGAATAAGAATCATATTTTTATTTTCCTTCATATTTCGCAGGCTTAGAACTGTCATTCTATTCAATAATTTAGTACATTTAGTACAGTTTAGTACTCTGAACGAATAGTGAATTATATTTTGCTTTTCCTTCATAGTTCATACTTTGCAGGTTTAGGACTGTCATTATAATCAATACCCGTTTATTTTATTCATTAAGTTATTTAGATATTAAAATATCTGTGATATTTTTTTCTTAATGCATTATTTATGATATCGAAATTTTATAGATATTTGCCGGGTTATTTTAGAATCAGAATGGCGTATTTAAAAATCAAAATAATTACAATGATTTAATTTACAGATAAATCATGCTTTTTTTTATTTTATTTTTTTATATTTATATTTAGTTTTGTAATATGATAGTTTTTAAGACTTATTTTTTTTTAAATCTAATAATCGTTTCTGTTCTATAAATAGTTGTTTTTTTTAAATGTTTGTTTGTACTAAAATATTACGTAGTGTACTAGATTAATGTTTAACATTTTAGTTCATTTCATTCCGGTGTCAAATTTACTGATGAAAATATACTCTAAAGTAATGTAAATAAAACTAATTATAATTTAATTTTACTAGCTTGGAAATCGAGTCCTAAAAACATATTTGAAAAAATTTGTTAAAAAATTAAGACAATTTCGCAAAATGTTTACACAAAATTAAAAATTAAAATAATCAGTAAATATATGAACATAAAGTTCAAAATTGCTTGATGAATCAGAATTATCAGAGATCAAATTTGGCAAATGAATATTATCATGCGTCTCACTCTTTCATGCACCGATACCATATCGTTGCCGCTCATTCAGTCAAAATCAGTCGCGCTCGCGTTCCGTGTTTCACGTACGACAGAGTACTAAATGAACGATGTTCTAAAAAAGAAAAGGAATAGTTCGTTCCATTCAGTGTCGGGAATTTATTCCTTTTAGTACATAGTACATGTACTACACAAGCCTAATTTTTATATCTAGCAATTTTTTGCTCTATAACTGACGACATATTGACTTTTGACGGCATTCCAATTTCTATTCGTTATTATTCATTTTGCCAACCATTTCAAAGAGAATAAAGGTAATCAATATAACCAACCATAGCTTCGCGTTCGATTACGGGCATTTGCAGCCTCATGCGCTTCAAGTTGTAATATTATTTTCAAAAGGTCTAGTTTTGTAAATAAGTGACTACTATCGGTTAGACGGAAAAATCGTTAAAATGTATAGAAATAAAAAAGACGTTGATAAGCACGTCGAAAATTTGCTGAACAAAATATCTTCGAGAGAGGTTGGTAGTTGGTGTTCAAATCAAGTATTACGCTTATTGACAAAGTTTTTAACATCGATATTTGGTTATTTTCAGTTTAAAAGTCGTGCTTATTCCATCGCTCGGTTGTATTTTGAAGTTGGCGATTTTGCGAATTGCCAAAAATATGTTGAGCAATATCTTACTCAAAAAGATAACAATGCAGCGGCTTATAAACTTCTCGGACAAGCTTTGCAGAAGATGGGACAAAAAGAAAAGGCTTTAGAACAATACAAAACTTCCCTGGACATTGACCCAGCCCAGACAAGCACTATTCTAGACAGTAAGTCTTACTAAAATAATATTTAATTTACAATTTATCATATAGCTAGTTTACTAGGTTTGTTAATATTAAAACCAAAATCTTCTATTAAGCCATTTTTATGTGCAGTATTCTTATATATATTTATTTATATTTATGTGAAAATTATATTCTTAGTTATATTCTTTTTTTTCTATCAGTAAGTGTGTTGGTGGTAGTACTATGATTAATTTCTTTCCTTAGATGATTCTTGTCAGCTTGGAAGAGGTCATATTTAGTAATAAGTCTGCATAAGCATAAGTACAATAGTGTACTTTGTATGATTTTTTGTTTCTTTTGATTTTATATTGTTTTGCAATAAAGAATACTCTATTATTATCATGTATATAATAAACTAAATAATATAATATTTTGTATGTTGTTAATAGGCCTGTATTCATTTGTAGCTATTGTATAGTTTGAAGTTGTTATACCCGAAAATATAATATTCTTGAATGACTTCTACAATGCAGGAACACACTAAGTCTTAAGATCTGGCCTCCCATGTCTAGAAGCTCTAGTAACCACTTAACACCAAGTGGGTCATGAGCTTGTTCATTCTTTATTAGGCTTGATTGATTGATCATGATTAGGCAAGTACTCACACACAACTAAATACAGTTTCAGATCAACTTTTCTAATTTATTATAAAAAAAAGAACAATATTCCTAACCTAAAAGTACATGTTATTATCCGCAACACGCTTCATCAGATTACAGAAATACAGTCAAAACCGTTTACTGCGACATCGTTTAGAACAACATGCCGGTTATAATAACCAAGAACAAAGGTCCCAGCTGAATGCCATATGACCGCCTTATTAAAAATATTGCTTTCTACGACATTGGTAATAACGACATACCTCATAAAACGACCACATTTAACTAATATTTTGGAGAACTAGATCTGTTAGAACGACCGGCTAAGCTGTATTGTAAACAATTTGAATAGGTATCCACATTTGTCTTCAATTGCTATTAAAATCAGGAAAGAAAAAAATTGGATTTAGTTTAGTGTAGGTTCTTTTCTAATTCTTAGAAACAAAACGCGTGCATGCGGTAGAGTCAAAGCCCGCTTCTTCATATCTCTTCAGTTTGTTTGTTACTATACACAAGACGCACCAAAACTTTGTGGAGTTATTCGTGAACCTTTCAAAATGTCGCAAAGAAAAAGAAAACAAATTAATATTGAAGAAAAATCGCATATTATGTAAATATATTTTTCCAATAATTCCCTATAGATTTGTTTGTACTTGCGCGATACACATTAAACATCACCGGTTTTTACGACTGAATATGAACAGTCCCTTCGATGTCGTTATTACAGATTTTGACTGTAGTTATCAGCAACATGCTTCGTCAAAAGTACAATACTTACTTTCAGCTACAAGCGTCGTCATAAGTAACATATAGGTCCACATATAGGTTTCAGATTGTATGATGCCTATGTCATATCACCTGAGGTATAAAATATGTGTGTTGTGATTATTTTCATTCAGTGTGAATTGACCTGACCATTACAAGTAATAAAACCTTGCCATTGTTTATCTTATGTGCACTGCTTCACGTCAGATCTGTTTTGAATATTATACAAAACAATAAACTGCAAGTGGCTGAAGGTCTAGTATAACCAGCCACTTTAATGCAATAAAAAAAACTAAGATAAATTAATTAATCCACTAAAAAATAGTGGCGCAGTCAGCATAGTTTTTCCATCTGTATAATCATTTGTATTCCATCTGTTATAATTGATTTACTTGTCTAAATTATAAATAATGGTCAGGAAGATCATAAATGATGTCTTAACCCCATTTAAATGAAATATAAAAATACTTGTTTCAGTTTGTGAACTTCTAGCTGATTATGATGTGGAAATAGAACCTGGACGTGCAAAATACTGGTGTGAAAAAGCAGAAGCAATATTCCCTAGACACCCTGTTACTTTTCGACTCCGTGAAAGACTTCTATCCTTGCAAAATCCAAATCCTGAAGCACTAGTCAAATTAATAACCACAGAATTGGCAATAAGACCAAAAGATGCACAACTTCATGCACGTTTAATAAAACATTATATTAGCACAAATAAATTAAAAGAAGCTTTTGAACACAGTTGCAATATTGAGTTTGGTGAAAATTTTTTCATGAGTAATTATGCTTGGTATGAAATTTTAGCCAATCTTGTGGTAAATAGTGGAATTAACCATAATGAATGGCTGTACCAGTTATTGCTTTTAACTGTTAGAGAACGTTTGTGTGTCTTAAGTTTAACTGAAACACCAAGTGGTACATCAAAAAGCTTAGTAGAGTCACAAGAGTTTCTACAAGCCTATGATCAGTCAATTGAAATAGTTGCAAAAACAGGTCCTAGTCCTGGCCATGGAGATTTTCATGCAAGTTTGCTTCAACATCATAAAGGACAATTTAGCTTACATGCTGCTACACTGTTACTGAAGAGGGCAAAGAAAGACCAGTTGAATTGGAGAGATGCTGTAAAATATGCTGCACCATTGATGTTAATAGCATGGCAAACATTACCACTTGATCCAAAAGTAAACTGGGTTAAACATGCCCCAGAAAAACAGTCAAATGCAGTTAGACGGTGGTTTTCTGAAGGAACATACAGGTGCTCTCAAGCAGGTCATTATCTTTTGTCAAATATTCAAGATAAGAATCAAAAATTAGATCAAATATCACATACACTTGTTGGAACAACTTGGAGGGAAACAATCTATGAAAAAATTTTTAATAAAAGAAGTCAATTGGAACTAATTAAATCTTCATATTTTGCATCAGACGCTTATAAACCTCCAGTTTTAAGACTACCTCGCAAAATTGAAGTTGAAGCATATGATGATGATGCTCAAAAAGTATTTGGAAATTCACTACACCATTATGTGTGGACACTTCTGAACTATAAAGATTACACTCAATTTCGATGCACTCTTTTTAATTTATCAACTGTAACAATGAGTAGCTGTGGGCCCGAAACTTTAAATAATCTAGATATTTATGCATTTCTATACTGTGCTACGTTAACTGCCCATCAACAAAAACTTACCAGGATGTCTTATGTTTCCACTGACAAACCAAATGTTTTACCTGCTCATATTACAGATTGCCTCTGTACACTTTCGCAAATGAAATGGTGGGATTGTGCTTATAAATTTTGTCAAAGTGAATTAGGTACTGAGCTTACAGATATTAGAGCCACATTGAGTCAAGGTATAGAGGTTGTTAGATGTGTTGATAACCATGGTCTTGATCCACATCTTCTTTGTTTACTGGGACAATTATTTAATAACAAAGCTAAATCTATTTCAAATTTCGAAGAGAAGAATCATTGGAAATTCCGTGCAGCATTATACTACTCTTCTTCAATTCCTCTGCTTGAAAAGTTGATTAACAAAATTTTTGTAAAAATACCAGAAAAGAGAATGTTTGCCTATATCAACAAGGAACATAACTCTAAAGAATTGAATTCTTTAATAGAAGAGAGCAAATTATATGTTGCATCTCATCATTTTGATGAAAATGAATATGACAAAGTTATTGACATTGCTTCATCCTTAAAATCTCCAGAAGCTTACTACCTTCTTGGTCAAACATATACTAAAATTGCTGTTTTAGAAAATGATAATTCTAAAGATTTTTCAGTTAATACTAATTCAAGCTTTTTTGTAATGATGAAAAAAGCTAAGCATTATTGTTACAAAGCCTTGGACAGGCTTAGACAAATTGAACCTGACAGAAACCACCCTTTGTATGTCAACATCCAGGATTTGATAGAAAACATTAAAACTTACTTAAACAGAGCAGATCCTGATGTATCAATAAATGACAATTTCAAGGATGACTCTGATTCATCTGTTGACCTTTTGCCAGTCCGAGCTACCGCACAACATACTCGTAATCTGAGTTCTACGCCTAAACCTAAACCTAACCTAAACAACTCAAATATGACAAATTATCGAACAGCGGTTGATTCTCAATTCATGGACACTTCAAGAATTGATCATCAATTTTTAGAAAGAATAGAGACAGAAATCAGAAACTTAAACAAGAGAGATGCTACAATTAATGATTTTATGCAACAAACAAGAATATGGTTTGATGAGAATCGCAACTTAGGAAATCAAATAACTAACACTATTCACTCTAATGTCCAAATAACTACGGATCAAATAAAACTTCTAAAAATTTCAGTAGATCATGTAAAGGATCAAATAGACCAGTGTAGAAATGAATGCAAAGATGTCGGTGAACTAAAAAAGCAAATTGCTGAATTAAAAATAGAAGTAAACAAGTTAAAAAAACCAGCAGAAGCAAGTGATGAGAGTGATTTATACAATACAGATAAAGAATGCAGAAATAATGAGAACACACCAGGCTATGCTACACAACTACCTTATAGTCCTGCTCAAGCTATGGCTTCATATAATCAGAGACTTGTTCCACCTTTTCCAGCACCACCTAATTCATACCATTTATATGGACAAAATTTTTATAACTTATACAATCACTACGCCCAAATAGCTCAAACGTCAACACCTGGAACTGCTCCTATATTTGAACATGCCAGGTCCCAAATGGCGCAATATCCAGGTGTATATCCAACACCAGAACAGATGTTTTTAGATATTGCACAACTTGTTCCACCAGCTGTACCAGTACCCCCAGTTCCGACTGTCCCAGTGCCTTCAGCTCCGACTATCCCAGTTGTACCAGCTACACCAATAACTACTGTTACAACAACAGATAAATCAACAGTTCCGGTTATTTCAACACAATCTTCAATATCTAAATTGGTAAATAAAACATCCAAAGAGACAGCTAAATCGTTACCTGTCAATGTTGTGATAACATCTTCTGATCCATTACCTACATGTACTACAGCACCACCTCCTATACTGAGTGTCACTATTCCTCCTAAACATATAAAAAGCTCCCCTCATAATTATCAAATTCCTATGCCATCTGTGGATGAAACAAAAACAGTGTCACCATCCGTTTTTAGTATTCCAAATTCAGGAATAACTGTGAGTTCATCGACAAATTGGAGTCAATCATCCATTTTTAAAACAACGCAGTCAATTCCTGTACTCAACAAGATGGGTGATATATCATTGATAAAGGATGCTGCTAAAACTGAAATTAATAATGCCAGTATTGATCCTTCACCAAATGCTAGTCTTAATAAATCGAGAACAATATCAGAACGTAGCAATACATCTATTGAAAGCTATGATCCATGTCCAGACTTCAAGCCGATAGTACCATTACCTGCCGAAATAAAAGTGAAAACCGGAGAAGAAGATGAATTTACAATTTTTTCTTCAAGGGCTAAATTGTTTAGGTTTGTAGACATGCAATGGAAAGAAAGGGGCCTCGGCGAAATTAAATTATTAAAACATAAAATTACTGGAAAAGTAAGAGTTTTGATGAGACGTGAACAAGTTCACAAGATTTGTGCTAATCATGTAATTACTTCTGAAATGGAAATTTCACCAATGAAAAATGAAACAAAGGCCTATTTTTGGGTCGCCAACGATTTTGCAGATGAAGCAGTGGTACTTGAAATGTTTTGCATACGTTTCAAGACTTCTGATATAGCACAGGAATTTTATAGAAATTTTGAAAAAGCACGCTTAGAAGCAGCTAATTCAAAGACTGTTGAAATCCACACTGACAAACATGATTTAAAAAATACTACCAAGGCATCTACCCCTAGTGACGTTTCTTCCAAATCTGAAGACCATCCTAAATCTACTCCTGGTAAATCTGTGCTTGGAGGATTCACTTTTAGTAGTACACCAAACATAAAACCAATTAAGGATGAAAAAGAAGTCTGTTCTAAACCAACTGAAACAACTGTAGGTAAATCCAACCCATTTACTGGCTTTTCTTTGAAATCTATGTCAAGTTCACCATTTTCCAATTTGTCAACTGTGAATACGAATATATTTAGTAAAAATACTACACCTCCACAAGACGCTGCTAAAAAATTAAACATATCTGACACAGTAGAGGACTTTGAACCCACTGCAGAATTTAAACCAGTTGTACCTTTACCTACATTGATTGATCAAAAAACTGGAGAAGAAGACGAAAATGTGTTGTTTGAGAACCGTGCTAAACTCCTACGTTTCGATGCTTCAGACAAAGAATGGAAAGAGCGAGGACTAGGTAATATGAAGTTACTTATACACAAAGAAAATACCCAAAAAGTACGATTACTAATGAGACGAGAACAAACTTTGAAAGTATGTTGCAATCATTCAGTAACAAAATTTATGATATTCCAAAAAATGCAGAATATGGAGAAAGCTGTTACTTGGTGCGCTAAGGACTTTTCAGAAGGAGAACTGGTAACACAAACATTTTGTTTGCGTTTTAAAACTCCAGAGCAATGCGGAAAATTTATTGATGCTGTAAACATGGCACAGAAAAATATGGAAGATGAATCAAAAACTTCCAAGGAAGGAAACAATGCAGCCACACAGAACAATCAAACTGGATTTGGAGATAAATTTAAGTCAAAACCAGGGTCTTGGTATTGTGAAACATGTTATACCAATAACTTGGAAAGTTTTGACAAATGTGCTTGTTGTGAACAACAGAAACCACAACTTGTTGTGAATAATAAAGAATTAGGTTTTGGAGACAAATTCAAAAAGCATCCAGGAACATGGGAGTGCCCGATGTGTTTAATTCGCAATGAAATTGGAGTAAAAAATTGCATTGCCTGTAAAACACTTAAAGATCCTTCAGAAACAAATAATAAACCAGAACCAGAAGTACAACCATTGCAATATTCTTATGGAATACCTGGTCAAAATGCTAAAACCTTAGAAAATAAAACAATACAGTTTCAAAATACAAATATTCAAATATCAACTGATTCAAAAGCTTCTATTCCGAAATTTAAATTTGGTATTGCACCAGCATCACATGAATCAAACGAGGAAACTAATTCAGAAGTTGATGCACCCACTTCCACATCTATATTTGATGGTACTGGTACACACACATTTAAATTTGGTATTCCATCAAATTTGACTGTAAAGCCCCAAAATTCACTTGAAATTAAAAAACCAATGAGTACAATGTTTGATTCACCTAAGACTTCAGTAGCTGCTGAAAAACCTTTGAACATAAATTTAAAAATAGAACATGAAAATGAGAGTAACACAGCTGTATTATCTAAATCAAAAGATCTTACGTTTGGTTCTAATGAAAGTGGAACATTCAATTTCGTTTTTAAACCAAAAACTCCAGTAAAATCCAAGAGTCCATTGAAAAATCCAAAAAGTCCTGGTGAGGACAGTGATGGAAATGATGAGTGTGTGTCAGAAGAGGAGTCGTCCCAGATACAATTTACACCTGTTATTCCCTTGCCTGATGAGGTAAGTCATATTTTAATTTTACAAAAAAATGTCATAAAATTTGAAGTCGTCGTAGCCTAAAGGATAAGGACGACCGGTGCATTCGTATTGAGCGATGCACGGGTGTTCGAATCCCAGGCGGGTGCTAGTTTTTCTAATGAAATACGTACTCAACAAATGTTCACGATTGACTTCCACGGTGAAGGAATAACATCGTGTAATAAAAATCAAACCCGCAAAATTATAATTTGCGTAATTACTGGTGGTAGGACCTCTTGTGAGTTCGCGTGGGTAGGTACCACCACCCTGCCTATTTCTGCCGTGAAGCGGTGATACGTTTCGGTTTGAAGGGCGGCGAAGACCTTAGAACTGATATCTCAAGGTGGGTAGGGCATTTACGTTGTAGATGTCTATGGGCTCCAGTAACCACTTAACACCATGTGGGCTGTGAGCTCGTCCACCCAATTAAGAAATAAAAAAATAAAAAAACTTGATGTGGATTAGCAGACAAAGGATAACTGTAAACCAGCATCTGATAACTGTAACCCATACACCAAATGATAGTAGATTTCAGTACCACAAGAACATTGTAATACAATTCAACATGAAATTTCTAGTTGAAGTGCATCAACGTAAGCATATGATATAAATTAGGGATAGAAACAGTAGTTATTTTTAGCTCTTATTTTTAATCACAAATTACTGTACAAAATTCTAATCTTACATTTTCCTTGACTAGTTCCATCAAAATAAGATAAATAAGTAGTAGTCATATAATATATAGAATAGTCCAAGTGTCTTATTCGTATTGAGAGTTAAAAATAAAGATTGAATAGAAAATGTTGTTAATATATACATGTTGTATTTGAAAAAAATTGCTTTGACAGGTTCAAGTTGTAACTGGGGAGGAAAATGAAACTGAACTTTATGGCCACAGAGCCAAACTATATAGATTTATGGCTGGCGAATGGAAAGAAAGAGGAATCGGAGTTGTAAAAATTTTGAAACACAAAGATACAGGCAAGTTAAGGTAAGTAATAACTTAACTGGTGTTTTATTAGAGACATTCAAATAGACCATAATCATAATCATCATTTAATTTATTCTTTTATTTTAGAGTTGTAATGCGACGGGAGCAAGTTCTAAAAATATGTTTAAATTATGCATTAGCGCCTGAAATTACATTTACTCCCAAAGATGAAAAAACGTGGTTGTTTGCTGCTAATGATTATAGTGAGGGAGAGTTAAGCTTACAACAATTTTGCCTTCGATTTGCAAATAAAGAAACAGCTACTGAGTTCAAAGACGCAGTTGATAAAGCCAGGGATGGTAAATCTATTGAAATAATGAAAAAAGATGATAAATGTAATTCAGAAAGTATTTCTGGAAAGAGTGAACAAAATATTGATGAGGATGATGTTATTTTTGTGAGTGAAACAGTTGCCACTGTGGAAGAAAAACAGAAAGCAAAGGATCTATTACTTCCGGAAAACTTTTACAATTACAAATGTAAAGATCCATGTCAAGGATGTCGGGGTTGCAAAGAAAATGAGTTTGTAAAAAAAACTGATTCTCCAGTTAATATTAGCAACTCAACAAATCCACTAGAACATATGACTATGGCAGCTCTTCTATCGACTCCTAGTAAAACGACTCCATCTTCATTTCAAAGTCCTACTAATTCATTGTATGGCACTCCATCTAATTTTGAAAAGACTTACGATACCTCAATTTTCCGTACTCCACTAGGATCAATTGGCTCATTAAAATCCGATACACCTACATCAACAATAAAAAAATCTGATCTTTTAATTAGCAAAGAAAATGATTCAATACAAAAACCCTCAGTTTATTCAACATCAACTGTTGAGGAGGTTGAAGCAACTGAGATAAATTCAAAGTCTAAAGGTGTTATACTTGCTCCCCCAAAACTTACTAATGTTCCCTCAAATGAACAAAAAGCTCCAGAAAAAAGCTCCATTTTTACTAGTGGTCAAAACAAACCTATGTTTGATCAATCCAAATTTTTATTTGGTAGTGCTGCTGCTGGTACTTCTAGTAATAAATCAATTTTTTCATATTCAAGTGATAACTCACCTAAAAATCCAAAAGATGATGTGAAATCAATATTTGGTGGAGCCCAGAAAGACTTTTTATTTAGTAATGTAGCACAAAGTAAAATTTTTGGCCCAGGATCAATAGCTAGTAATCAATCGAAACCAAGTATTTTTAGTACACAACCACAGACTGAAGAAAAAAAGAATGTGTTCGTAAATAATGACTTGCAGTGTGGGAATAACGCAACTATTAATTCTAATCAGAAAAAAACAAATGAAGACATCTCAGAAAAATCCAATGTAGCCAAAAAAGAAGAGATAAATAGTGAAGGACCCTTCAGAATTGATAATAAACTATCATTTGCTGCTTTGTCTACGGGTAGTGGTGATAATTTTCAGAGTAAGTGCTTATTACTGATTTATTAAGGATCGCCATATTAATAAAAAATAATAATATTAAATCAATTAACAGCTGTAAACAGTCAATCTCAGTGTTTAAGTTTAGTAAAAGCAAACTTAGCAAAAAAAAGGACCCAGTATGACGTATGTAATGGTAATAAGTAGGTACTAAAAGTTCATGTTTAAGTTAGCTCTATGAATCAAAATCTTGTACAATAATTATGTGTTTTAAATTGTGAAGAGCGTATGGTGAGTCCACAATGCAAGATGTCTTTTTCGGCAGCAAAGCACGCGTTAGGAGTGGAAGGTTAGGTACGACAGGCGGAATAACAATCAGTTGATGGCTCTGTCCGGGCGTAGCTGAAACAGCCTCTTAGGCTACCAGCAAATAGTCGGGGAATAAAATGTGGTCGACTACATTCGGATAAGATATTCATACTGTATTCGTATTATACAATTTAAATAAATGGAAAGTTTGAAAAGTTTTTAAATATTAAATTAGAGCAAATGCTGATATTTGTAAAATAATATATTAAGCCCCAAGCAATATATTAAAATCACATCATGTGTAATTACAAAGGTAAAAAACATCAAATTCCATTGCAGAAAAGGCCGATTTTCAATGGGAGGGTGCAGGTCAGCAACTGTTTGCTGGTGGACAGAGAATAGAGGGAGATAATTCTAAAACTGAAAGCAATGCAGTAAACGAAAAAAGTGGAGCTGCAGGTGATGAAGAATATGACCCATATTATGAACCTATTGTACCTTTACCTGAAAAAATTGTGATCACTACTGGTGAAGAGGATGAGGTAAGTACTGTTCTGCTTATGATTTTACAAGTTACTAAATTTTTCACAAATCATTTCATTAATGAACTTTCAATATGTTTTGTCTACACAACCTGTATTCAATGTTTAATTTGATTTGAGTTTGTAATCCTTTGAAATACTGGCACTGAGTTGGGGGATAGTATTTAAATAACTACTTTTTTCTCCTACCTACGCCAAAAGTTCGGTTTTCCTCCCGCTGTACAGGGAAGATTGTCTAACTTTTCCTCCCACTGTACAGAGAAGAAACTGTAACTTTTCCCCCCTGGGTATTGACAAGTGCGCATGCGCGTTAGTGTCTACGTCTGCTCTCACGCACATAAAATTCTCCACCATTGTTGTGCTCGGGTAATTTGCAATATTGTGTTTAGTGTAAAAGTGAAATAAACAAAAGGCAATAAAATTTAATAGTGAAGTATTAAACAAAGATGAGTTCATCAGACAGTTCTGATTCAATAAGTAGTAGTTTATTAAAAAATTAAAAAACAGTTAAATTGTTTTTTTTTTATGAGTATTTCTCCGCCCCGCCCCCCTACCCCCGCCAGGGCTTCGCCCCTGGACCCCACCGGGGCATCGCCCCAGGACCCCGGCTCGGTTCTCCACGAACTTTCGGCCTGGTAGGAGAAAAAATAGTATGTGCACCGCGGGAAAAAGTTGTACATTTCCTCCTGCTTGTTTACCAATTTTGGTACGGTAGTAAAACACCAGTTGGTGTATACAAAGTTTGGAAATTTTATATGTGGGAGGAAATGTCCAACTTTTCTCCCTTGGTGCACAATTTACTATCGTCAAATAGTGATACCAATTTTAATTAGGAACAATTCCAATGAACCAGGTAAATATCAGAAGTGCTCAATAAAATAACACTATAAACTTAATCCTAAATGAGTTGTGAAATTTTAGGAAAAATTGTTTGGCGAAAGATGCAAATTATTCCGTTATAATGAATCTCAAGAATGGAAGGAACGTGGTGTAGGCGAAATAAAAATTCTGTATCATCCAGAAAGAAAAACGTACAGATTTTTATTAAGAAGAGAACAGGTAATTAATTTTAATCATCCAAACACATTGTTCAACAGAGAAAAAACGGATTAATTACTTACTAGATTTATTTAATATGCAAGTGAGTATAGTTTCATTTCCAAAGCACATACACATAAGAGGAGTCTCCAAAATAAGAGCCAAATGTATAATTAATTATATATTTATTATTGTTTTACACCTGGACGATAATCTAGATATTTAGTAAATTTTATTAATGGCCATACCATAACAGACATTGAAGTATCAGTGGGCAGGGCACATTGCTCGTAGAACGGACGGACGTTGGGGCCAGAAAGTTCTTGGGTGGCGACCGTGTGTGTACTTAAAGAGTTAGCGTGGGTAGGCCTCCCACAAGATGAACCGACGACCCATTGAGGTTCGCGGGGATCCGCTGGATGCAGGCAGCGCAGATACGGTCTTTGTGGCGAGGCTTGGGGGAGGCCTATGTCCGGCAGTGGACGTCTGTGTGCTGATAAGAAGAAGAAGAAGATACCAATAAATTCTTGAATCTCGTTTAAGTAAGGTTTCAATACCTTCACGCTTGATACGATTTAAAAATTGCCAGGTTCATAAAGCTGTATTGAATATGCTGTTATTTGCGGATTTGGAATTACACCCAATGAAAAATTCTGATCGAGCATGGATTTGGGCTGGGATAAATTATGCAGAAGACCCATCTGGTCAGCAGGAGACCCTAGCTGTCCGATTTAAATCGATCGAACTGTTCAATGAGTTCGGCAATAAGGTCGCCCAATGTATACAGGTCAGTGTAAGATATTTATATTCATTTAAAATAAATGATCTAAAGGTTGGCAGAATGCTATGTTTCAAACTGAAAAAAAATACTATTTTTTAACTATAAAAATGAAAATCACAAGTAATATAAACGAGGCTATTTTTATAGCATAATATAAGATATTGTAAATTATTTTTATTATTATGAACCCCTTGGGAAGTTCCTACTGACAGGATTTTCTGAGCGATCTAACAAAACACAATTTCAAATATTTTGGTTTCGTATATTGTATTCAATGCCATGCTTAATACTGCAAAGTTATATTATCAAATATTTTCAATACTTTTATTCCTAAAACACTTGAAACAAAAATGTAATTACTCAGACAGTGACACTATGTGGACAGGTTCTAGTTTGCATAAACTATGTCTAAATGGTAATTTTCTTATTACAGAAGCTGCAAGATGAAACAGCTGCTAAGCCTATTGAAGTGAAAAAATCTCAAGAAACAAATGAGGCCAGTTTCACCAATCCCATGCGGTTGCCGAAACATTTGCAAGACAGTGCACGAGCAGACTACGCGATGACGGCAAAAGTGGAACAGCAAACTCAGAGAGACGAAGTCGTGGACCCGAAACCAGAAGCTGTGTTCCAAGTCAGACCATCACCGTCCAAAGAAAATTTTCAACAAGTACAGTTCCAAGAAATGCGCCAATCAAAGGAATATGACGTTGATGAAGAATATGACGACGATAATGGCGAAGATAATTATGATGAGTATGATCCCGACTATGAGCACAATGAATACGACCATGAATACAATGAAGATGTAAGTGTTAAAATTAGCGTATCCTAACATTCCAAAGGGATGCGACTTTTGAATATTTTGATTTTTTTTATATTATATTTAATATAACCATGAAAAAAATGCCACCTATGATGTCTTATATTCAGCGATGGGTAAAAATTGAAGGGCTTAAATGAGTTGGTTATTCATTTTAATTAATGCGAATATATTTGATGATTTCATGTTGCATTGTCGGAATTTTTTGAAGTCGAGGTTCACAATTTTATAATTTGAACTTTTAAATTACTATTTTTATGCTATAAGGCAGATGAGACCTATTTTAAAATATTTTTTCTTTAATTATTGATCTGGAAATTGTAATATATTATAGAAAACCAAAGCAAAGTACAAAACTGCATATAAATTTGTAGAAAAAAAATTAATTGAAGTAGAAGTTTGTTTATCAAGGGTGAAAGACCTCGATGCTTGCCTGAAATTTGAATGTCGAACATCCAATGTAACCGTCATCACATTATTTTAATACCTGTATCGTCATGATACAGCTCAGATTAGACCTTTTATCTTAAAGTGGCTATGAGCATCCATCCACCTTGCGTGCATTTCGGAAACACTTAACATCTGGGGTCGGGAGCAAAACAATAAATTTTGAAATAATGGCGACCACACCTACTGTTCCAAATAAAACCCAAGATGCACAGCAAAAACAAGGTTTTTATTCCGACCGTGTATAATAAATAATAATACACTAACAAAACATTTATTCCCAAGCGGAGACCAGAAATTAAAAAAACTAGAATTTAAAACTACCGTTTTATTTATTTACATACACACAATAAACATTAAATGTCCATTTATCAACGATTTCAATTTTATTTCAATATATAGGAAGAGGAAGAATCTGGTGAATATTATTCGTGTGATGGAGAAGCAGTTATCAAGCAAGGCAGTTCAGAAACGACGTGTGAGAACGCTCGCATCATCGTGATATTTGATCAGGATGTTTGCTCACCTAAAATTCTGATCACTGACAGTGGAACTGGAGAAATCCTTGCCGATATGCTTATAAGCACAGATACTGAATTTGAGGTACATATTTTTAATAATTATATATCATTTTTCGTTATTTCGCAGCAAGCGGTGTTGCTGGCAGTGCTTTAAAAATTATATTTTACCAACATGTTTTGCGCTACAGGTTATAATATCGCTATTAACACTGCTTTCGGCGACACCATAGTGGTGTCGTGAGATGGCTGTTTCAGTAGTTTGCTTGCTAATAATAATAGTTTAAATTGTTCGAAATCGGAAAACTAAAACATCCATTTCCACTAAAATTATGTTAATATTTGCGTTACTTAAAATACTTTTAAATAATATGTTCACTTTGTTATAATAAAATCACGATATAATATGATGTATTTAAAACTCATTACCTTTAAAACATTTTAAATTAATTCTCCATATTCCATTTAGATTTCTAGTGATACTACGTGCAAATGGTCAGGAACGGACTTTACGAGCAATGATCCCGTTGAAAAGTCTGTAACAGTTAACTTCCCCGATAGTGAAGTCGCAGCACAGTTCCATGAAAGTTGTGAGGTAAGAAAACGTAAAAAAAAGTTCGCATACAACAGTTGTACATTTCATATCTCTTATGAAATATATAAGTTTCACATGTGTAATAATTTTTTTATTTTATTTCAGACTTTATGTAAAGGTGCATCGCTGTACAGATCAGATCCAGAATCGTAGGAATATTTCAAAGTATTTTAATATAGTTTTATAATTTGTGTTTAAGAAGTAGGTTTTGTGCCACCTTGGTATTTGAACAAAGTTATCATCAATATTTTCACATATTTTATTAATGTAATATTTAATTTAAAAACAACAAGTAAAATGCGAGTTTTTTTAATGTATGGTACATTACCACCACCACCACCACTACCACTTATGAAACTATCACTGATGCATATAATTATAATGTTTAGTGTGATTTTACAAAAATCAATAGCAGGCTGTCTGTGAGATATTTCATAGTAAGTATAGTACTTAAAATATTTTGTCTTACTATTTACTAAATCATTTTGTTTTCAATACATTTATAATTATCTTTTAATAAATATGTGTTATAACTTATCACAAGGAGATCTAACCAACACTTGTTACTTATTTATTAAAAAGATAAAAAAGTAGTAAATTATTTTTGTATTTTATGTCGTTCCTAGTTGGTTAGGTCTTCTTGTATTCCTTTCTTGTATTAAGTTAATATGTAGAGCTGTAAACCTATAAGTTTCATAGTAACTTCACAGTTCAATGATTCAGTCAAATAAAAAGACTACAGAAGAGGACATAACTCAGAGTAAAATTGACATTATTGAAGTATAAAAATGTATGTTGTTAATAAATCAAATATCGTCGTGTTTCCCTGTATTACGTGGATTATAACATAATTGATATTATAGAAATGAGAAAAGGATTGAATTTCAAATTATGACATTAAACAGTAAATAAATGAATATAGGACGAAAAAAAAAATCTTGTTCTCATTTTGGAATCTGATGTGGAATGTATTGTGGAATGTGAAGAACTTACTTATAACGTAATAAAGATGTTGAAATAGGAAATTGTCTGTTATTTTATTCTGTAGTAGACAGATCTGAACGCACTATAATGATGAGTAGCTACTAAACAATGACTTATTTTGGAAAAAGTGGTGCAAAGGGTTTTCCTGCTGTATCTTTTTTTTTCCTACCTAAGCTGATAGTCTTGAGAGGCTATTTCAGCGTAACCTTAACTAGTAGGTAAGCTCCCGGGGCTCGAACCGGAGTGATGCTAACACTGATCCTACCTAGTAAGAGTGGTGCTTCGCAGAATCTACCACAGGATCGGAAACGCGACCCACTGAGAAGATCTGGCGAGAAACTCAGTAGGCTGTGTCTATGGGTTAATTCGCTCGTCGAGCCCTTCGTCGCAAGCGACGGGTTCGACGAGAACGGTGACCGGTGCTTGTGGTACCCAAAAGCACCGTTAATGGTTTGGGAAGATCCGTAATGACGTGTTTTGGGCGACGTAGACTGTTTACCATTCGGTCTACAGGATTGGGTATGTAGTTTCCAGTGGCCACGACGAGAGGGTTCTCATGTTGTGCCTCCTTTTCAAAGTGGCGCAATGATGCTAACTGTATATACTTACTGACCGAGTCAAGTTCCAGGCCATCATGGAGATCCACGTTCTTCAGGAACCATGGTGCTTCGACGGCTATCCTGCAAAATCGGGATTGAATAACCTGAAGGGGTTTCAAGATAGTGCGGGCCGCGTGAGCGAACACTACGCTTGCATACGTCATGACGGGGCGTATGCAAGTTTTGCAGAGAGTTATCTTTTTTCGGAGGGACAGTTTGCTTCCCTTGCAAAGCATAGGGTAGAGACGTCCTAATATGAAGGCGGCACGGTCGCGTACCGTTTTGATATGGGGACGGAATGTCATCCCTCTGTCGAGGGTGACGCCTAGGTATTTGACCTTCGAGGCCCACGGTATGGGCTGGCCAAAGAGAATGATGGGGCTAACGGCAGAGGTGTTAACGCGCCTATTAGGGAGTGGGATGCTCGAAGTGGTGTTCGGAAGGCGACCCCTTTTGAAGAGCACCGCTGTGCTTTTCGTGGGGTTGATGCCAATGCGCCACTTCTTCCTACACGAGTAGTAGATAGCCGTGTCATCGGCGAAGAGCGCTAGATGGGTCTCCGGAGAGCGGGTCATACTATCATTGATATACATCATATTATCATTGACATATAAACTAAATAATAACGGGGAGAGCGCGGAGCCTTGCGAGACTCCGGCCGTCAGATGATGGTGCGAGAGCGAGTTCCCTCTACTCGATATCGAAACGAACGGTTCGACAAGAAGTCTTGTATGATGAGCACGAGTCTGTCTGGCACTACCATTTTGTAGTTTGTAAATCAAACCGTTGGGCCAGTCTTTGTCGAACGCCTTCTAGATATCGAAGAAGAGGGCTCCGTGAGGCGGTGCACTTGTTGTATGCACGAGTGTTTAGCGCGAATCCAAACTGCTCGTATATTAATATGTTATTCGCGGTAACGAAATCCCAGAGGCGTTTCCGAAGGAGTCGTTCGTAAATGTTGCCTATCGCTGTGAGGAGACTAAAGGACGGCAACTAGCGGTTTCGTTTTTTGGTTTGCCCGGCCTATGTATACCAATAACGTCCGCTTCTTTCTACACCACGGGAAAGATGCAGTGCGTCATAGCGGCATTTAAAATGGTAGCCAACTTTGCTATCAGTTGGACTGGTAAGATTTTTAGGGCGCGGTTGCGGATGCCGTCGGAGCCGGGTGCCTTCTTAGGGTGAAGGTTGTGGATCGCTTCTTTAATTTCGATACTGGTAATGGGGGGTAACGCGTCCGAGGATGGCAGGGAAGCTCTGCGCTCGACCTCCCTGTCGACTAACTCGGTGTGTTCGGGGTCCGCGTATTGAATGCTGGTGGTGCACTGCTCTTGCAGTGCATCGGTCAGCAGCTCTGCCTTGTCATCGTAAGCAGGTGGTTGGTCTGAAGGGCGTACGAGGGGAGGTATAGTAACGGTCCGCTGTATGTAGTAAACTAGCATTCTTGCAAAAAAAAAGACATTATTCGTTACTATTATTGAACGAAGCATTATTCGTAGCAAATTAAATTGTCTACAACTTTATTCATATTACTTTTTATCGTAAATTGGAAAATAAAAAAGTAGAAAACACAAATAACTGATTTTTTTTTCTTTTCTTATTTCTTTTGGGCGTTACTTCTTTTTCTCTGGTCATTTTACAATAAAATGGCATAGGGCAAAAGGCCTAATAAACGTAACATTTCAGTGTACCGTACTACACCTACAATAGGTGACCGTGCATGATTTGTTTCTAAGAATTATTTATTTTCCAAGATAGGCCTACTCAGTATAATACACACTAGTTTCAATATTATAGAGGTAATTATTTGTTCGCCATGTATACACTTATTCTCCTATATACTGGGTGTTACAAAACTACCCGTAAAGCCGAAAGAAGGTTAAATGGGTTCTTATAACGAGTCCATTCACAATATTTAAGAATCGTAGTAATGCTGTATAACACACCCTAAAAAAGTAAAAAAATATGATTTTCACTGATGTGCAAATCCTATTTCAGTAAAATTAAAGAGTAAACAACGCAGAATGTATGTATTTTCATTTCTACCTAATTCTCGGAATGATAAAAATTTGAAAAGACCTAACCTAACAAAACAACCCAAACGAACACTTCCTTTTTCATAATAATTTACAGAAACGGCTTAAAGTGTGCTCCGCCTTCCGCAATACACAACCTCGCTCGTCGGGATAGGGCTTGTGTGGCAATTCGCACCATCGTCGGTGTTATTGATGCGAAAACCGATCTAACACGCTGTTCCATCTCGGCAACCGTTGGGCAACCGAAGAAAGACGCTCTGTCCTTCACATAATCCCACAAAAAGAAGTCCAAGGGTGTGAGGTCCGGAGAACGAGCAGGCCATAGCACCGGTCCCCCGCGGCCGATCCATTCTCGCGGAACGCAAACGTTATGATGTTCTCGTATGTTGCGGGTACAGATTCCAAATTCAAATGTAATATTTTGTTTATTTTCAATTGTAATAGTATTTATGGCCAGACTAAGTACATATATACACTGAAGATAGATTCCGTACAAAATCGAATAAAATTACATTATGTAACACCGTGTAAAACGAAATAACTCCTAGTATGTGCTCAATTCAGATATTAAAATAAAACATTTTAAGAATCCTACTGAAACCTACCTATGAATATTGAGACTTCATCGGTAACTTTTTTTGCCTACCTATGTTAGTAACCTCGAGGGGTTATACTAGCTTCACCGAACGTGTAGGCGAGTTTACGGGGCTCAGCCTGGTAAATTTGCTGACTCTAGCAAGGGAAATGGTTTGTTGAATCTAAGGGTCGGAATTGCGATCCGTTGAGAAACTCAGTGGGCTGTCTCTGTGGATTAATTTTAATGACGAACCCTTCGTCGTATTCGACGAGAACAGTGAACGCTGCTTGGAATGCCTAAAAGAACCGATAGTGGATCAGGAGAATCCAAAGTAAAGTGTTTTGGGCAACGGCGACTGTTTACCGTTTGGTCCGCAAGATCGGGTACCTATGTAAAGTACCTATGTAAACTGTATGTAGTTACCGGCGGCCACGAAAAGAGGGTTAAGTTAGCAACATCCGTTACGCTCTATTACGTAAAAGATCTTTTTTTTTCCCGATGTTTTCGCATTATAATAATATGAAAAAATTACACAAATTACCCATAAAGCCACCAAAAAAGCTATAAAATTGATAACTCTTTTCAGGTTCAGTTTGATATGTCTGGTCAGTTGTCATTGTATAGATAATAGGTACACTACTTGATGGAGTCATTGAATGGTAAAATTTCAACCACCGCTACACATCTAATTACAAGTAGTCTATTATGTTTCAAGGTATTTATTGCTTGAAATAATAATACCACACAAATTTTACTCGAAAACACTACAGCAAAACACAAAACAGTGTTAGGAAGCCATTTCCGCTTAAGACAAACTTATGTTAGTGCGGGCTCTGTGGCTTATGAAGGCTTATAAGGCTTATGAAGTGATAATAAATACAAATGATAATGAAAATCATAGTTATTTCTAATGTATTATTTTAATCACCGCAATTTTAATGAAGTGTGAATAAATTTTAATGTCGAACTGTCTTCGTTCAGCTTTGTTAGTCACCCTATATTTTTTATTGGATCTGTTGAATTGTCTTTCGTAAAGAATATTATCATGTCTTACGAAACGTTCTTGATCGATTACTTGAACAACTTGACATGTCATTCTCATGATTGGTTGACTTCTCCAACCATGATTGTAGTATACATATCTTATTACTTAACTAATCTATTTCAGAAATTATTCTATTTTTACTGTTAAATAGTGTGGAGAATTTTTACGTTAATTGCAAGGACGAATGCACTAATGCAGACGTGGAAATAAAGGCTGTATTAATAAACTGTAAGCCAAATGTGAGTGGTGTACATTATGTTTAGCTACTTACTTCATGGAAGTCAAGTGGGATTGACATGACATTAGGGAAGAAAACTTCTTTAATGAAATATATTTTACAGATAGAAAATGTACATTCAGAAAGAACAAAATTTCAATATGATGAACTTTTTAAATACAATGTATTACAAGAATGCGAAAAGAAAATAGGAGTCTCTGTTAAATTACATGATTGCGAAGTAAGTTCTAAGCCGGTGTTGTGCCATGACAAATAAGAATATTTTTTTGAGATTCTCGGTTATTTTGGGATCTCGCTTTATTCAAACTGCTCATGGACACTAAACTATACAGATCAAAGGTGTAAAGTATGAGAAAATATCATACCTTCGAAATCCGTAAGAAATGTTGTTACAGTTACATTCGTAACTGCGACGGCCGCCCGGCCGCCGCGGCGCTATGATTACTCAAGTAATAATAATTTTGAATGTTTTGAACCTATTCGTTGAATTCAAATGTTTTTTTATGGATGAGTGCACTAGCTCATGATTACGGGAGCGCACAGACATCATAACGTGAATGCCCTACACCATGTCCATGAAACTGAAGCTGTCTCACTCTTCAAACCGGACTGCATCCGCGATTAAAAGACTCGCCGTGCGGGCTTACAATACGATCTACGGTGATAATTTAAAAGATAAGTAGGTACCAATTAATTACTGTTGAGTAATTAGGTGAATTTATAAATTTGGGCTTTTTTATCATGTCGTTTGTTACTAAGTTCGTATTTCCTCAGTAAAATTGGTAGGTACCTACTTGCTTGCAGGATTGAACACCGGCCAAACAAGTATCTATTAAACCGGGTGTCTTATCCTTCATGCCATTATAAACATTGTAGACATTACATTTCTGGATAGTATTTACCCCCGAGAATTATTCGAGTTTCGTAAAATTATTCTTTAAATTTTAAATTTATAGCCTAATTATTCTGTCGATGAATATGTTCCGGTAGTACAAATTTCGGATTCTTCAAGCGGAACTTATCTACGATTACTCAACCCGTACGTTTTACGTGTTCAACGTGAAGTTCCATTACAAGCTTACAAGTTACGAAAATTGGAGGTGGTTGCTCATTTAAATATGTACAAGTTAATAGAAATAAAAATGTTATAAAAATCATTATACTCGTAATTCTCGATGTTCACTTACAGAATGTAACAGTAGTGATGTCACAAAATGTCAACATTAGAGAAGTAGTAAGTTATTTCTTGTATATATATTTTATTCGAACTACTTTTGAAGTAACCGCAATAAACCATAATTTTTTAATAGCATCGTTTGCGAAGATACTCTGAGGTTTTTTCTCCAGTGATAGCGGAAGATTTAAATATCTTGGAATACTGTAAGACTGTTGAACATAAAAATTCAGTCTTAGGCAAATAGAATGTACTTACTGTTAAAACAATGTTCTGTTTTTTTTACAGTAAAGAGAAAAATCGATAACAACATACGCAATAACGCTATAAATGATAATAATATAAAAACAGTACACAAGCGAAGTGGTGAGAGTAACATAGTTGTTGAATTCGAAACTTACGATAATCAAACTAAATATGTACCTTCAGCTAAACTTCAAGAACAAATAATTAGAAAGGACGATGCTTTTGATAAAACATCACCACGGAATAAATATAGTAGCAATGAAGCAACAAAGAAAATTCGGGAAAAAACAAGTTCTTACAATATACCTTTTAATCTAGGACAAAGTAAAATAGTACGGATGTCTTCTTAGATTATATGTATTTATTTATATTTAATTAAAGTAAATTTCATTACAAATAACATTACAACAGTTCAATATTTAGCCAACATAAAGTAAAGCCACATATATAAAACTGAATTTTCAGAATAAATCATCCGGTGAAAGATTTTTTAATTACGAATACTTATTGGATGACGATCATGTTCATCTTAAGGATTATCTAAATAATATTAATGTTCATGATTTTACACTATACGCAATCGGAAATCCTGAAATATGGAAAAAAGTTAATATGCAGCTATTCGAGAAAAGGAATACGCCCGAAGGAAAACCTGTATGGAATGACATTACCAAAGGCCATCATGTCAGGTTCGTGTAACCCTTGGTTCAGTAAACAGGAGTCGACGGTATTCGACAAATGAGGCTGTCAAAAGCATTATGTTTTGACACATAATCTAGCTGTGTATGCTACGGAATCTATTAACGTTATTTTCACGGTTGTAAGACGTCTGGATACCTTGAAAATTGCACACGTACCCAGCACCGATGACAGTAATAGAATAATTTATTACTTCAAGATTTAGTCTTATTTTACATATTCAATATATTAAATGATTATTTTGGTTTACCGTTAAAGCTTGTTTTTTTAAATTTTAAATTCCTTAATGTAGGAATGTTCCTTAATGTTCCTATTGATTCAACTGTGAGGTTTTCTATAAATATAGCTTGTGATCTATTTTGTACTCCAGATACAAATATTGAACGACACAATTACATTGTGAATTAATTCCAACCTTTCGACATAACCGTACAGCGGTATCATGTACCTACATTAATCACATTAATTTCTACTAACTGTAGCTTCAAAAATACTCATTAAATTAAATAATTTAATCATAGTCTTAGCTCTGTGACTTCAGAATGGATTGGACAAGATGCCGCGGCTAAATTTAAATCAATAGACTTCATAAACCGAACTGAGTTTACATTTTCAATGGAGAATTTATGTATATTGATTCCCATGCGTATGGAAATTATGAAAGGTATGTAGTTGATTAATTTATAGTGAATAGTAAACATCTTCTGAGTCGGTCTCTTCATTGCTGTAGGTCATGTCTAGTTTGAAATGTTGACCACTCGATGCGCTATGCTCTACGAGCGATGTGACCGAAGTACGTGAGAATACGTTGGAGGCAGATAGCGGACAGCCTTGTGGTAATACCTTCAGAATGGATACGTTGGTCCGGCGTGCTGTAATAGTAAACATAATAAAAAATTAAATATGCCGATTGCTATTAGTGACTCTATTGATATTGATAACACAAAAAAGTTTCGATCGGAAAGAAACGATTTTCGAAGGGTTTTGATCTATCAAACGGTCTCAGTGGAGTAAGTAATGAGTGATCAAAAGTATTGAGTGATGACATCTGTTCCACAATGCAAACCAGAATCCAGCTTCGTAGTAAAATACAGTTAAATAGCGGTTAAATATTATATAGTTAATAGCAATTTGCCACACCAGCAGACTAGATTTCAGAACTAGAATTGAGGTTAATTACTAGCGCCCACAGATTCCCGTTACACTTTGTCCCTACTTTTACCGTGTCATGTGTATTCGACCTCTTTTAAGTTTCATGATACCTAATTGTTAAAAGAAAAATACAATTTAAAGAATCGTGATTAAACTAATTATTTATTAGTATAAGACTAATGATTTATTGTAGGTACTCATAGAACTTATATAATAGTATCGATGGATGACATATTTTATTGGGAAAACAGTGCTCGATTTATGAAACGTGATAATAATTCGTTTCCCTTTCGAAATGCTTCTACTTTATCTTCCACAAAACTGCAGGTGGGTAGTCAACAACACGATGAATTTTCACGGTTAATAATCGATAACACAAAGTAAATTGTATTTTCAATAAGTTTGTAGGCTCACTCTGTGCAGGTAGGTGCCTTAAATCACAGTCCACAGAGTTTCTCGCAGGATCTTCTCATTGGGTCTCGTTTCCGATCCGGTGATCGATTCTGCGAAGCACTGCTTTTGCCAAGTACTAGTGTTAGTAAATTCGTCAGGTTAGAGCCCCGTGAGCTCACCTACTCGCTCGGTGAGCCTAGTATGACCCCTTTAAGATTAGTAGAATAGGTAAAAAAAAAGTGCAAGTTCAGTAAGGTTAAAAACGAAAAAAAAAAAGAATATCGGGGGCAGTCTAATGTCAAGGAGTTTAAAATTCAATTATATGCGCAATGGGCGTGCCGCGTTCATCAGTTGCTCTGAATTATATTTTTGGAGGGGTCGGGTTGACGATCTATTCACGGGGGTATACAACAAGCAGTCTACGTAATATCCGTAACCCCATGATTGATGGGTCAACTGGGGTTGAGTGGGTCAAAACCATCGTGGATATCAGGGAGTGTGGTTTTCTCTCACTCCTGTGCTTAGTGCGAGTTTTTTAACGTTCTCGATAACGTAAAAGTTAACCCAATTTGTATACGGCAAACGGAGGCAAACTTTCCAACTTCATACAAATTTGAGTAAGTTTTACGTCAGCGAGAACGTTAAAAAACTCGCACTAAGCATAGCACTCTCCATTTCCCAAGACGCTTTCCGAACACTTTCCACTAGTCGTAACATAATTTATCATTTTTATTACTATTAGGTACAACCCATGAAGCCAATTCGTAAAGTTTTAATTCGACCTAAAAAAGCTTTAATCGCTATTGATAAAAATCAACTTAACATTGTTACGCAAGGACCTAATGAGTACCTGACTTTGCCGTTTCGAAAGTCATATGAAACTGAAATTGACATTGAGGCAAAAGCAGATGAAAACCAAGTCGTACTTGTTGGGTATGTTGTCTTACCGAACATTTTTTGGTTATCTATATGGGCAGATGATAGCCCGGGCCACCCGGTATTAGTAACCTGAAACCATAGATCGACTAACTCAACGGCAAAGTAGTTTACGCCTTGACCACTTGGCCAATAGTGGTGGGTTCGACTCCCACAACGTGCAAACATTCGAGTGACGAACAGGCTTGCTTGTTCTCTGTCAAGGGGTGCTTAAGATCTAAGTACCGTATTTAAGTCTTAATAACATTATACAACGGCTGCCCCACTATGCGAACCGAAAACTATGACTATGGGCAGCTTGGTGACACATACCTACATATGCTGAATCAAGACGTCTACTGCTGAACATGTGACTATGATTATCTTTTTTACTATTATTATAAAATCTAATGTTAAGCGGGAGCTGAAAAGCCTATAAACTACGACTTAAATGCAGCTATTCACTTTGAAAGCCAAAATTAAAATCTAAGTTATTTTAGTACGATGGCCGTCACACGCGTTAAAGTAGACTACATGACTAGAAATAAAATAAGAAATGGGAGTGATGCATACACCCTTTACTCTGTGTTGTGGGCGCTTACGTATACCGTAGGGATATTCAATAGTAGAGTAGTTTACTTTTTTTAAAGGCAATTTGGACGAATCACTGCAGCAATCTCGGACGCTTCCGGAATCGTTCGACCGACATTATTTTTTCAGATTACGAACACAGGTCTTACTTCATCGAAATTTAGGTTGGTGTTTCTGTTTTTACATAATAATTTAGGAGGGCTGTTACCTCACGGTCCACTTGTTGTTAAGCTGTTAAATGACCGATCCGTCGTACAGTGGTTTAACGCCCCTAACTGGATCACTTCATCGGTCACATTGCTATTTTCCTAAATATTTAATATAAATTTATACGTTTAAATGTATGTATGTATGTATATTAGTCTCTGGTTCCCATAGTACAGGGAGTCCTAGTTTGGGGATAGATGACCGTGTATGTTTTTCCCCAGTTATTATTATTAACTGAGACAATAGATATTACAACGAGAATGTCACCTTTACTTTGACATTAGATCAAAGTATTACAACTTTTTTAATTAATTTAATATTTCAAGTGCACACGGCTCACCTGATTGTAGGTGGTCATTGATGCTCATGGTCAACAGTAGTGCAAGGGGCATAGTTGAACCGTTGCCTAACGCTTTAGACTCTTTTCAAATCTCGTCTGAATAAGATCAGCGGCTGGTAAAATTATTAATTTTGAAATAACGAATTTGCTATTATTCAAACCTCAACGCCAATAGACTCATGTCAGGAAGGTTGTAGGTATATTAACTTGTAAGACCTATATATCATAATTCCATAATTATGGTTTAATATTCAATACATTATTGTTCTAACTAATTATTCTCGTCGCTTCTGTCTACTATTCTTAGGGCATATAGCTCATACAAGTCAATATACAACCTTCCTGACATGAATCTATTATCTAAATGAAACTCCACATTTCCATCTTCATATTTAACATATAAATTGTCAAGTTACATTACTATTTTCATATATAAATTGATAAATTTTAGAGTGTTACTTCGCGAGTGCGACACACAACTGTTTGATATAAAAAACCTGACACAACCCGATTCAATTTTAATACCACCCAGATTAACAAGGCTTATGAAACTAGAACTTCCTGATTTGCAAGACGTCGATCGGTCCACTTGTTCAGGTAAGAAATTTAATATTTTGATAAATTTCTTGTTGAAATCAACAAAAAGTCAGATGGTTTTACGATTTTAGTGGAGTTGGTTAATCATGAAGATATCCCAATCGCTGCTAGACGTGTCGTAATCAAGAGAGGGGATCGTTGCTTCTGCATTTGGTTTTGTGAGTGTGTTTGCTTGGGTAAGGTTTCCTCATAAATTATTTTCTTCGAGATTTACGTCAAGTTTTTTTAAAAATTAAGTAGGCTAATTAGTGCTTTATTATTAAGCTTAACTATGCTATTAATGTTCCTATTCAGAGTATAGTGGAACCGAATCGAACGCAAGTTTTAAAATTTATTCCAGACCTTTAATCGCTTTAAAATTACAATCAACATTTTCTGTATCGTAATTATTTTAACACGATTAAAAGTCGGTTGTGTTGAACGAACGCTGAAGGTTGTCTGGATCCTTTAAGTTTAATATAGGATTCAAGTACCTATATTTACTGAAATGACAAGGACTTATGAACATTTTAGTAAATGGACATTGTTTTTCTTCACCTTCCGCTTTTAGTTTGAGCTGGCTTTGGGAACGGTCTTTTTAGCAGCTTGTATGTACAATATGTGTCTATAAGTTTGCCAAGTTAAGTTTCACAGATTGGCGAGATTCGCGGAGAACTCGGACTCTTCATAGAGCTAATTTATTTAGTTCATGAAAGGGATTGATTTATTGTTTAGTTAATTCTGAGCAAAACTCCGGTATTATGCTTGCCAAAAAATATATTTCATAATATGAATTATTGAATTTAAAATAATCAGAAAAATTAAAAACATTATGTCTTAAGTACCTAGGTACAATTTAAATTCCGATCTCTTACAACCTTACATGATGGGCACTAAGTGCAAAGCCACGAGCACTGTGTTATCGTATTTAAATATAATAAAAAATGAGATGTTTGTCTTCATGAATCTAATATGTTTGCGAATAATAATAAAGAAATAACTTTATTTCCATGTAATGCAGCTGATGATGCAAAATTAAACTGTAAAAAGATGCGAGAACCACGACAAGCGGCTGCAGGCTTGTCAAGAAAAGATATAGCGTTATCTCGAAGACCTCGTTCTTTCTGTTATAACGACAATGAAGCTGTTAATTTCGTAGTTACATTTCTTGGTGTTTTAATAACACTTCTCTTGCTGGGTTCGTGTCTTGAGCATTTCATGTTCATAGAATCTTTTATTCCGTACTAGCTGACCCGGCAGACTTCGTAGTGCCTCAATCGATAAATAAAAGACCTAAACTTGTATAGAATAAACTTAAAACAAACAAAAGGAATCCGTCCTACGGGGGACACATCAAAGGAAAAACAACATTGTTATTTTTATTTAATTCCTAGCATTTTCATATTTATCTACCTTTTAAACTTTCTCTGGACTTCCACAAATAATTCAAAACCAAAATTAGCCAAATCGGTCCAGCCGTTCTCGAGTTTTAGCGAGACTAACGAACAGCAATTCATTTTTATATATAGGTATATATAGATTATTTTTTATCTGGTTTTAATACAGTAAATTGTTTTCAATCTAATGTTAATTCACAGGACTGGCCAAAGGTTTTCTGGGTTTATTTTTTCCCTGTATTAGAAGTTGGGGCTTAGACAGAATTTTAAAAAGTCCACGCCGCTTAAAACATTACTATGAGACTTCTCTTCGTTCTCGTTACGTCCAGTATGACGCTGACGGCTGGCCAATTCATCCAGACACAAAAAAGAGAACAGTATATGCTGAAAGTCGGTAATTATTAAATAATAATTCAGTAAATAGGTCCCCTTACTCCCCTAATTCAGTAATTAGGGGAGTAAGGGGAGAACGGAGCATAACATCTTTTCCGGCCCAACTGTCATCCTCACCTGCTCGCGCTAGTGGTTCTTTCAGAATAGCTAGCGGCGGCGGCCCAAAGGTCGCCGCGGTGCTCCCTGCCAGACAACGGACGAGGCAATGGCGACCGAGCAATGGCGGTATAACCATACGTACCTAACCGGGAAACCGATTAGATGAGGNCGATGCCTTTGAAATGTGGGTGTGGCGGAGGATGCTGCGAATACCGTGGACTGCCATGCGAACAAACGAGTCCATTCTAAGGCAGCTAGACATCCGAAAAAGGCTCTCTTCCATCTGCCGGGAACGTGTTATGAGCTTCTTCGGACACATCATGCGGTCTCCCAGACATGAATTAGAGAAGCTCATAATTACGGGTCGAGTAGAAGGCAAGCGCACCGTGGGCAGAACACCAGCCAGATGGTCAGATCTGGCAAGAGAAGCACTCGGTGGTAGTCTGTACCATGCAGTCCATGCCGCCCATGATCGGGTGCATTGGAAGTACATCGCATGTGGTCGCGATCCTCAGTAGTGAGGGAACGATATAGAAGAAATAGGTACCTGAACAAAAACATATGCTTTGCTGTGACTATCGCTAATTGTATGAAACAATATGCCGAAATTCAACTTATTCGGATGAAAGACTCAGGAACGCATATATATACAAAGCATAGAGCAAATATACAAAAAACAAAAATCCCTTATACACTCAGGACTGAAATTCCTAAAAACTCTTCCTTAGTAGACTGGAAACGTAAAAGTTAACCATAGCCAAATATTCAAGTTATAAATAGTAAATATTCGTTATTCGCCAAGTTTATTTAGATTGAGATTGTTTGCATTAGATTGCGCGTGTAGTCACTGCGATGGAAATTTAAATATGTAATTTCAATGTATAAGTACCTACTTAGGTAAGTAAGATGTCGAACCGGCGCGGTGGCATCGCAACCCTCGATTGTGTCGTGGCCGCGTGGGTACGAATTTCTCAAATTAACATTGATGTTTTAAAAAACCATATTTTGTTTTTATATATCAATGCAAATTAAATATATTAGGGGCCAGTGTTAACATTAGAATTACATTAAAAAAATAGGTTCCGAACAAAAGAGTAGGTACCTACCTAACTACAGATGGTACGATGTATCGTAAGGCCGCATGGGTGTGTTTGGCACTACCATTTTTTTTTAATTGTTTAGTTGGGTGGACGAGCTCACAGCCCACCTAAGCAATATAAATGCGCCACCCACCTTGAGATTTAAGTTCTAGTTAGAGAGGTTTCAGTATATGTAGTTACAACGGCTGCCCTACCCTTTAAACCGAAACGCATTACTGCTTCACGGCAGAAATAGGCAGGGTGGTGGTACCTAACCGCACGGACTCACAAGAGGTCCTACCACCAGTAATTACGCAAATTATAATTATGCAGGATTGATTTTTATTCACGATATTATTCCTTCACCGAGGAAGTCAATCATAAACATTTGTTGAATACGTATTTCATTAGAAAAATTGGTACCCGCCTAAGATTCGAACACCAGTGCATCGCTCAACACGAATGCACCGGACGTCTTATCCTTTAGGCCACGACGACTTCAGCTACCAGCTTATGTACCAAAATATTGCATTAATTATATTCATTTAAAAGTCACAAACGTCACCTTATATTTCAAGCATGGTTTATGCTTTAATATCATAAATCCAAAGGTTTCCCTTGGCCATGGACGTCCCTAAATTAAATAAAAAAGTAGAAGAAAATTACCACAATGAGGCTTAATTTATCTAATTATGTGTAACCAAAAGAAATATTTGTTTATTACAGATCTATGGAGTTTACATTGAATCTGATATTTTTCATAACAATTCCTTGCATCGTGGTGTGTGACATTTTAAGACAGATCATACAAAAGTGTATCCCACAGACAGAGGACGATGCCGAACACACTAACCAGAATGACAATAATAATAATAAAAATATAAATCATTACACGCAGGTTATGCTCAATTTTCAATTTCTTATTATAGAATACCATTTTTGTTAACGAAACGCGAATGAGATAAGTATGAGTCCAAATGTTGTTGTCAACTCGAAACATTATTACGTTGAAGCTTAAATTGTATTATAGTAATAGCTACTAAACTATAACACTCTAGTTTAACATAGGTATTATTGTAAACTTAAAGAAGGTTTATCTCACTTAAAAAAAACAAAAAAGGTACCTAAGTATAGGCATTAGTGGTACGGCTTGTTCCATGTTGGTATACCCCTAATACCTAATTCTGCCGTGAAGCAATAGTTTTGTTCAGTGTGCTTGTCAATTTTGTATGCAGCTGGAACAGTGCTCCTCCAGCTGCATACAAATTTCAGGTAACTTGTACGCTATGGAGAACGTTAAAAAACTCGCACTAAGCATAATGAGTTGAAGGGCAAAGACAGCTGTTTTACTAACAACTAAGTTTGAAGATAACTCATGCGATTACATGTGCGATTTCTATGCAACTTACCATTTAAAAAAGTGTTCATTAGCTAATCCACTCATCTAGTGCAATAAAATAAAAGTATTTCAGTTGCGTACAGGTTGTAAATTTTCAAATATATTACCTAAAACAGGCAAGAAATTTTCTTGACGAATGTAAAAACTGTTACGAATGTACCCTAAACGACATGCATCCAGAAGAGTCTGGAGATTCTGAACAAGACGACACTGTTTTTATACTCATGCAATTGCAAAAGAGTAAATCGTCATTACATGTGAGTGCCTAAACAATTAAGCTTAAAAGTAGGTCCGTCCTGTATTCTTAGTTATTTTAAAAGTTAACTTAAATATTTTTGTTGACAGAAATATCAAGCGACATCCAAAACCATTGGTTTCAATCACAGTGTCAATGAAGGAATTTAATTGCATTACACACTACAAACTACTGCTGAATTATCACTTTTGAAGTGCAACTTTAAATATTACAATAGCACTTCTAAGTGCCAATTTCAGTGTCGAAAGTGCAATTTTTCTATGTATTTTTTCTTGCTTGGAGTTATCCTTAATCAAACATTTTAAAGGCTGTAAAACGAAATAAAAAATGTGATAAATTAAAAAGTTTTTATGAGGTCATTAAAAATTCTATGAAAACAATCCTTTTGAACGTTTATACTGTAGTGAATGATTTCTCCGTGTAATATTTGGAAGCCTTGAAATTCGAAGCATGAATAAGACAGAAACCAAAGATTATTCTATTGAAAATAAACTAACAATAATAGCATAATCTTAGCATTCTTTTTCCTACCTATGCTGGTAGCCTTGAGAGGCTATATCAGCGTTACCCTAGCGTGTAGGTGAGCTCAGAGGTGTTGCTAACACTGGCCCTAGCAAGAGTGGTGCTTCGCAGAATCTACCACCGGGTCAGAAACGCGATCCACTGAGAAGACCGGCGAGAAACTCAGTGGGCTGTGTCTATGGGTTAATTTACTCGCCGAGCCCTTCGTCGCAAGCATCGGGTTCGGCGAGGACGGTGACCATGTGCTTGAGGTACCTAAAAGCAGCGTTAATGGCTCGGGAGGATCGGCAATGACGTGTTTAGGGCGACGTCGACGGTTTACCGTTCGGTCCACAGGATGGGGTACGTAATTTCCGGCGGCCACGACATGAGGGTTTTCGTGTCGTGCCGCCTCTTCAGAGTGGGGCATTGATGCCGACTTTATATACTTACTGATTGGGTCAAGCTCCAGGTCATCATGGAGATCCACATTACTTAAGAATCACAGTGCTTTGACGGCTATCGGATATTTAGTGCAGCGACCAGAAGGGGGTCTTAGCCTCCAAAATGAGAGGTCTTCGGTCCTAGACACGACATCAGTTGTCGACATAAAGGTTTCGGTCTTCAAATTAAGAAGTATTTATTCGGCTTTTATCCTTTTTTTATTTTTAATGTACCTCTATTACAGCTTTGTATGTATTCGCATGTTATTTAAGTTATTAAGTCGTCATGGCTACGCTGGGTGTACTTTCATTAAGCGATAGGACTATTCTTCTCAGTCGTATGCACTCTTGGCAGAGTGGTCGTGGTCATCACTTCGGTTGGTGGTGCGCTTCACCAGACGTCGCCATTCCTCGCGTACCGCGGCCCTTCTTGTGCACTCGTTAACGGGACCGTTTAGAGCTGCCTTTATTTGGTCGGTCCATCGTAACGGTGATCTGCCGCGCGGTCTTGTACCCTCTATCATGCCCTGCANCATTCCTCGCGTACCGCGGCCCTTCTTGTGCACTCGTTAACGGGACCGTTTAGAGCTGCCTTTATTTGGTCGGTCCATCGTAACGGTGATCTGCCGCGCGGTCTTGTACCCTCTATCATGCCCTGCACCACAAGGCGCTCAACTGAGTCGTCACCTCGCCGCGACACATGCCCGAAGAAAGTGAGAATGCGACCCTGAACGTTGGAGGATAGTCGCTGCTTGATGCCGAGTTCCTGTAGAATTGATTGATTCGTTCTGAACTCTGTCCACGATATTTGCAACATTCTTCTCCAGCACTACATTTCGAGAGCATCTATCCTCTTTTTCTCACTTTCTCTCAATATCCAGGTCTCAGCAGCATAAAGAAAAATGGGGAAGACCAGCGCTCTTACAAGTCTGATTTTAGTGGCTTTAGTGATATTTCGATTCCCCCATATTTTCTTCAGCCTGTCCATGGCTGACCTTGAAACAGCCATACGCCGCTTGACTTCATCAACGCACCCGCCAGTGTTCGATATCAGTGCACCTAAGTAAATGTATGACTGTACGACATCACAGTTCGCAATTTTTGTGACCTCTGGCGAGTTATTATTAGCACGGTCGACAATCATGACACTTGTTTTGTTGCGGTTAATTTTAAGTCCGAAATCAAGACTAACGCGTTCCACTCTACCGAGTAGCTCTTCCATCTGGCTAACACCTGACGCGACTAAAGTGATGTCGTCTGCATAACGAAGATTTGAAATCTTCCGACCTCCGATAGTCATTCCATCCGACCAGTTTTCGAGGGCGATTCTCATTATAAGCTCCGTATATATATTGGATAGGACTATATCGGCCTTCAAATCTAATGAAATACGTACTTGATAGATGTTCACGAATTACTTCCGCAATGAGGGAAGCTATTTCGGAAGTTGTTCCACGATAATTACATCAATACATACTTAGTCTGGCCATAAATACTGTTACAATTAAAAATAAACAAAATATTACATTTGAATTAGGAATCTGTCATTTTTATATGATTGCTCATTGAGTTTTCTCATTTTGGCGCCAATACATTGTACAATATTTTGCGATATTAAAATGGAGTGGGGTGATAAAGAGAACCGAATCGCTGTGATTGCATTACACAAAGTAGGTATGGAGACAAATGCAATTTTTAAAACTCTCCATACGCTTGGTATTAGTAAAATGTTTGTGTACCGGGCTAATAATAGGTGCAATGAGACCTCCTCTGTTTGTGACAGAAAAAGATCTGGCCGTCCACGTAGTGTTCGTACGAAAAAGGTGGTCAAAGCAGTAAGGGAAAGAATTCGAAGAAATCCTGTCCGAAAGCAAAAGATTTTATCTCGGGAGATGAAGATAGCACCTAGAACCATGTCGCGTATTTTAAAAGATGACTTAGGATTTTCAACCTATAAGAGACGTACTGGTCATTTCTTAACTGATAATTTAAAAGAGAATAGGGTGGTAAAATCGAAACAACTACTGAAGCGGTACGCAAAGGGAGGTCATAGAAAATTTTTGTTTACGGATGAGAAAATTTTTACAATTGTGCAACATTTTAACAAACAAACTGACCGTATTTATGCTCAAAGCTCTAAGGAAGCTTCCCAATTAGTCGACAGAGTGCAACGTGGGCACTATCCGATTTCAGTGAGGGTTTGGTGGGGTATTAGCTATGAAGGAGTGGCTGAGCCATACTTTTGTAAAAAAGGTATCAAAACATCGGCACAAGTGTATCAAGATACCATTCTTGAGAAGGTAGTGAAGCCCCTTAACAACACCATGTTCAATAATCAAGAATGGTCCTTCCAGGAAGACTTGGCGCCAGGTCATAAAGCTCGGTCTACGCAGTCTTGGTTGGAAATGAACGTTTCGGACTTCATCAGAGCTGAAGAATGGCCGTCGTCTAGTCCCGATCTTAATCCGCTGGATTATGATTTATGGTCAATTTTAGAGAATTTTAGAAAAAAATTCCCATGGAAAGAGCGCGTGCTTCTATTGATAACTGGCCTCAACGTTTAAAGGACTGTATTGCAGCCAATGGAGACCACTTCGAATAAGCTTTTTATACTTTAAATTGTTTTATATTTATGTATTAAACTAACACACTGTAAAAGTAATAAATGTTATTTGCAATAGAATTTTTTTTATTTTTTATTGTAACAGTATTTATGGCCAGACTAAGTATATATAAAAATGAATTGCTGTTCGTTAGTCTCGCTAAAACTCGAGAACGGCTGGACCGTTTTGGCTAATTTTGGTCCTGAATTATTTGTTGAAGTCCAGAGAATGTTTAAAAGGTAGATAAATATGAAAACGCTCGGAATTAAATAAAAATAACAATTTTGTTGTTCCCTTGATATGTCCCCCGTTGGACTGTATTGGAGTTTGAATATGAAAATAATGGCCGGCAACACTTGACACATTAACATTACAGATTTCGAATATTGGAATTATTTTAAATGTTTAAAACAAATAATTGTCTTCTCGTTAGAGAAGACAAAGGACTTCTCATCTAGATACGGTCAGAGCAGCATCTAAGAGTTTCATAAAAATAAAATATTGTAATAAAGTTATAGTGTTCAAAGTATCTGCAATATAATTATAATGAAGCAGTTTGTTATTAAATAGCCCCTCATCAACCTACAGAACCCAATCCCCTCAAATTAATCCGTCCAACAGACCGGGATTCCTTTTGTTTGTTTTATGTTTATTTTATACAAAAGTTTAGGTCTTATATTTATCGATTGAGGCACTACGAAGTCTGCCGGGTCAGCAAGTAGTGTAATAAAAAGCAAACTCGCCAAAACCGTAATCTACGTAGTTACTATAGAGTCAAAGACCTAACACCAGATAGGTCGAGAATTAATTCTCAAACTGCTCAGTGTGACATATAGGGTCTGGTATTTGTAGATAGCTGTCTGTCAAGATTGTCAAGTGTCACCTCAGCACAACACGATAAATAACATCATACTGTATGTACCTACCTACCTACTTCTTGCAATTTACTTTAAAATAAAGATAAATAGTATTACTCTATGACCTTAAAGTCTATCGGTTAATGTTTTATCTAATCTACTAGAAAAAATATTTAGGTGCGCAATCTACATATTATGTGAGTTATGCGTATTTTACTGAGATCAATTACTGTACTCAGAAAAGTAGTCAACGCCAGTGCTAATAAATCGGCGCAGTTGAAACATCCGTTTACAACAGGTATGACTGGCTTAAGGAGAGAGAACCTTGTCCATTATCTATTGTTATCATATGCCAGCTTCATTGAATTCGTGTTATATTTGTAGCATTAGTGTGGAGAGCCATGGAAGATAAAGAGTCTTTGAAAAAACGTTTAACACCACTGCAGTATCATGTTACGCAGGAAGCGGGGACCGAGAGGCCGTTTACAGGTAGAATTTGCTTATATGAATTCAGTTTTATTAATGCAGAAAGGTACAAAGTTACATATACAAAATTCATAATAGATATCTGTAGTTTCATCAAAATTAATTGATAAAATATGATTTAAAACACTTCCTAAATAAATACTGTAATTTTCAGGTTGCTATAATAAATGTTATGATGAAGGAATGTATGTATGTATAGTATGTAGACAAGACCTCTTCAGCTCGAAAACAAAATTTGATTCTGGATGTGGCTGGCCTGCATTCAATGATGTTCTTGCTAAAGAAAAAGTGACACTTCACCGTGATACTAGTGCAGGTATGTCATATATAGTATTTTCACATTAAAAAGCATGTTTAAATTGATGGTCCATTAACCTTGAGCTTTCATGCTGTAATTCTCATAGCTTCTAAAAAGACATTCATACAAAAGAAAGAAATTTCATATGTAATTGGTCAATCATCTTTTTTTATCAATTATTAATCACTAAGCACTTTACAATTAATATGGTAATAAATAAAAAACATATTTGTAAAAAATATGTACTTACGTACAGTATGTAACTATTCATGAAAACAAAATGACAATTAAATACCTGAGCACATGTACTTTCATATTTTCATATTCACAATTCATATTTTGTCTACAATACATACATATCTACAATATATCAACCATTGAACTATTGAAAATTTATGAACAATGAAACCAATTGGGGACCCTACACCCATAGACACCCAAATAGTATTAAATGATCAAAATTTGTTGTTGTATGCATTTGTGGTAAGGTTAATGATCACCATCTCCCTACAATGTTCACAATAACTAAGCATATCACATTTTCACTGTAATCAACTATTATGCCTTCCTTAAAAATCACCATTACTATACTACACATACTCATAACCTAATGAACTGTTTTATCTAAAATGCATTCATTATAATCCTTGCCCTGAATTTTAACAATATTTTAAGATATAATGTTAAAGAATTAAAATTGGAATATCATACATAATTAAAGTTTTTTCAAAGTAAGAATCATGCAAACCACAATAACAAAACAAATATTCTTTCATTCATCATTGTTGGTGCGTACTATATGCAAGTAACAATCCGTATTGATTTTGTTTTGCTAAAAAATTCATATTTAATAACATATCTATTTATTTTACTGTGGTACTAATGGTAATACCTAGTTTGTGTGCAAAATCTGTTAAACTCATATTAATATTTAAGAGGTTAGTGCTTTAAGTCCTCATGTCGAACAATTTGACTATGTCAGAATCCAACTTCAGCAGGCCTCAATTTTTTTAAGGAAATAGATATTTAGAATATATTTATAAAGACTTCACAAAAAAAGAACTAATGGTATTTAAGAATATTTATTTATACCCCCAAAATCATTAAACTTGTGTTCCCTCTGTTGGTATGAGCCCCCATATATCGTTCTACTGCCTGTTTTTACTGTGAACAGTACATAAATCATCCAGTTTAAAGGATATGATGTTGCCATATTCAATTGAGACTACAATATGGGTGGTTTTCACATTGTGAAGTCTGCTGGGCCTGGTAGCTACTTAATACCAGATGTACCATAAGCGCCAGTGTAGTAAATTAAAAAATGGTATCATGTTAAATTTAATAATTTAGTCAGTCCTGTATTTAGAGAGATACATTTTTGAATACGATTTCAAATAAAGTTATTCATTTTGGTTTTACTTTATCTATCTTTATCTATAGACTATGTATGTTAAACTGGTGGTTTTAAAAATATTTAATGGTGCTAATATATTTTTATCTGTTTTCCGTATTTTTCGTATCCTTGACAACTTTTCGAAATATCCCGTATCCAACTTAAACGTAAGTCGGTTTCCATGTTGAATAATCTAAATGTTTTTAACTTACATTAACACAATTTTTTGTTCACCAACACCCAAAACATTTTTACACATAATATGTCTCTGGGTCAATGAAACTAACTCGTCATGCTTTTTCTTGACGGTTCTTAATGTACCTTACATTTTTATGTATGATCATTGGTTAACTGTAACATCATTCATTGGGGTCATTCAATTTTTTATTTATGCTTTAACCAAAATGTAACTGTCGTGGATTGTGCATGACAAATAATATGCATTTATCCTTCATACCTGTATCGCCCTGTTTTGTCCCGTCCTGCCTGCCCCTTCTGGATGGCTGCCGGCTGGACAACGATCCTGCGAACTCTACAACATCGCTCGCCTACAAAACACATGCCTACCACACGAAATCCGTGAAAATACTATATGGACGTGCTTATACATAATGTATCATACCTATATTTATCAATATATATATAAATGGTATCTGGGTAATGGACATGATGTGTTAAATAAAAGTTGGCGGAAATATATTACTGGTTTTAACACGACCAGGTTTGGTGCGAACCGAGGTGCGTTGTTCCAAGTGCGCCGCTCATCTGGGCCACGTGTTTGATGACGGGCCAGCACCCACCCGAAAACGTTTTTGTATAAATTCAGCATCTTTGGACTTCATACCCGCTGAAGAAAGGAAAGATTAATATATTTGAATCTAAGAATGATAATGACTAAAATGTTACATACACCTTATAATATTAATTATTTTATGAACAAGTGTCATGTTTGTTGTGAAAACTTAACCAATTACATAGTAGGTAGGTAGGCTAATAAGTAATAATAATATGCTGTGGTAACATTAACAGATATACGAACGAATATTCGGACTGTTGCGATCAATGTCTGATTGCGAAGATTTCAAGGGAATGCAAATGGTTCTTTACAGCATTGTTTGTACATTACATACATTTATTTTCTTTTTGTTATACACATTTGTACTAGTATTTAGCCAGAGCATCGCGAGAATAGTAGGGCAGAGTGGTGTAAAATTGGTCATTAATTAATTCATATGCTATATCACAGGTTATTTTATTAACATTAGAAATGCACTTAAACAGAAATACCTTTTAATACATGTTAAAAGAAAAATAATCTAACTTAATCAATCACACTTTACTTCGTAAATAAGCAGTACTTCAAGAGTTAATCAAGATTGCCGTGATCATTTTCACAAATCATATTTAAATACTTCAAACTCAAACTAAGCAGATTTTTATACATTGTATTATATAGCATCCTAAGTAGCGAACCTAGTTGCACATTGCTGTTGTTGCAATTTGTATCTTACTCTCGACTCGGACAATTCGAAGAAAACGGCCACTTTCTGTTGCATAGGAGCATCTTCAATGGTAAGGATACTTCGAGATTGTTTTTGTGGCCTTCGCCACAATCTGAAGGATAATGAAAGCATCATTATCCTTCACCATTGAAAAGAATAGTTAGCAATATTATTAATTTTTGTATACTATAAAATCGAAAATTAGGCGCGGAATGTTATCCATCCCATTAATTCGCACACTTGCACACTATTTTCAACATACATAACCATCGGGTCATTACAGTCATTTCTTAAAAAGTTGTTTACATACCTTGTCACGACGTAGTTGTCAGCTGAAATTTGAATATCGAACGCCAATAAAACTTAACATGTTTGTGAGCTAAAATTAATCTGGTTATGCGATTTTAACGCTTACACCCTCTGCTTTACATCAACAATGTAAACCTTTGTTACAATTTCTGGCTGTACAATAGGAAACATTGATCAAATGTGAAATCAAATTTTGGAAACTTTAAATCAAGTTTAATAACATAATTACGCTCGAACTTTAGTCATTTACCATAATTTACATTCAAATAAAAGCGGATTGATTGCAATACTAGATAGTCTATTATGGTATTTTAATAACCTATTTAACTGATGTACAAGTTATGTTTATTATGTTCCTTTTTTTGAAATATAATAATTTTATTTGTACTTTAATTTACAATTTAATTAAATTGGACTTCGGTTCATGTTGTTTGGCGATTCATAATCCTTAATTTTATGTTTCTTGCAATCAATTTGATGCTCTACCAAACTGCTTACTCGAAAAAAATATGGAAACAATCAATACGAAATACATTGTGTAACCTTTCAACGATATATTTTTTATTTATATTTATTACGAAAATAGAATGTATCAACTTTAGTTTTGAATTAATATTTATAAAATTGATTACTCAACTAAAATGAGTGAACATTATAAAACATTGTGTTTTTTGTTGTTAAATAAATGTACATACATATTATATTAACTTTTAGATAGCTTTTGGCTATTTATCTTTAAAACTGTTATAATGTATAACATTATTTTTATTTACCTTCATGTAACAAATTTTTATTTTTTGCTGCTTACTTTTTATAACTTAGCTTAAGTCAAATCTCCATAAGTTATAATTAGATATTGTGCTACGTTATTTTTAATATATTTGTACCGCTGATTATAAAGGTTATGGATTGTTCGTAAATATCCTGATTATTAATCCTTTTAGTGCTGAGCTTGTTTTCACAAATTTTGAAGTATTGGCTATAGGATTGTTGAAAAAAAGCATCCAATCAAATCAATACTAAATTCACAGCAAAATAATTTTATATGGTTATTTATAAATGTTATTAATTCTGTGCAAGTCGTTATTCCGACGTTTCGCGCTCAGAGGGTTAATAAAGCTTTTTCTGTCTAAACAAAAAAAAGCGTTGGTAATGTGAACTACAGGCGCTTGGTCGGCTAATGAAAAGAAAACCTCGCTAAATGGATACATTTAATCGCTAAATCATAATCGACAGTCCGCTATTCATGTAAGATATCAATAGTTTCCTGATTAGCCGCAACCAGATGAATCCACAACAAAAACCAATAGAACAAAAAAGAGGTTATATAAATTTTTTTAACAATCAAAAATGTCCTGAATTGGAAACACGTCGAGCGAAGTAGTTCCTACAATCGGAGGAATCGACCATTACGCCGTCGGTATCAGATTATGATTCATCATCCGAATAAAAATACTTTTATAAAATAAATATTTTACTTTAATTTCATTGTTTTTTTCCCTCTCAACAGGTACTATTATAATGTTATTAGATCAAAAGGTTTCTGTGTGGTTTTCTCCAAATTAGATAGGATAATTGTGCAGTGTTCCATGTCTTTTACCTACGTGTATAATAATACATTTGATCGTAACAGAACCTAGCGAGACCTATATATTTTCTTAATTGCCTTGATGACCATTAAAATAATGTCAAATATCACCACGACACTATAAGTATTATTACTGGTGGATAGGACCTCTTGTGAGGCCGCACAGGTAGGTACCACCACCCTGCCTGTTTCTTCCGTGAAGCAGTAATGCGTTTCGGTTTGAAGGGTGGGGCAGCCGTTGTAACTTTTTATAACCCACCTTGAGATATAAGTTCTAAGATCTCAGTATAGTTACAGGTGGTGGGTGGCGCATTTACGTTGTAGTTGTCTATGGGCTCCAGTAACCACTTCACACCAGGTGGGCTGTGAGCTTGTTCATCCATCAAAGCAATAAAAAAAAAAATTAAACAACAAGTAATGACTGTACAGGTAAACCCTAATTATAAAATAAAATTTTGCGTTTATGTCTATATATGAGATTTGACATTACAATAAGGTGCTTAAACGTGGGACTTAAGCGGACTCAATACTGTGGAGGTGATACGTATACTAGTGGTATATAACTAACCTTTATTAGTTACAAGAATAAATATTAATTATATGCATTTAACTGAATTTACAACAAAGTTATTATTTTTTTTAATTTGCAGTCGTCTGTCCTAGATGTATGCTATGGGCAGGTACATTTATGATTTTAGAAATAAATCTGCTGTGCTGGAGCATATTTTATTAATCATTTGCGACCCTGATCAAGTAAAAACATATTTAGGGCTGTTTCATTAATCTAACACAAGTGTCCTTTCAGATTTGTTCAGATTGATGTTCTGGATCCAACTTTCCTTATATACAATGCTCAACAAAAATAAAAGCCTCTACTTTAACACTCTCACCGCCACCCATATATAGAATTATTCAGTGTAGCAGGCCGTGCGGTCCGCCGGCGGTCACAACTATGCCTACCCGTGCAGGCCGTGATGAAAAATCTAGAACGAGTTTAGCAGGCCATACGGGCGACTGGCGGGCTCACTATTTATTTGTACTAGCAGGCCGTGCGGTCCGCTGCCACCTCATAATTTCATATTCATTTTATAGTGTGTGGCCTGCTGTTACAGAAAAGTAAAGGCACCAGATACAAAGTTTAATTTTTTACCTACAATTAAAAAAAAAAAGTTGCTGTATCTTTAAATTTATAGGATTACTTGGAGGTTAATGATAGGAAAAAAAAAATACATTTTAAATGAAAGGAACTTAGTTATATTAATAAAAATGACTTTATTACTGTCTTATAATGGCGCTATGGAAGTTGGCAAAGCATTCAAAGCATACACTGGGATTTGAAGGGCAAACTAAACATACCGTATTGACCTTCTTTGTTACTCTAGATGCTTCTACACTCGTCAAACCTCTCTTCTTTTCATAGCAATGGATGCATCTTCTTCTTATTATTCTGTTGCGATGGTCGACCAACGGAGACTTTCCAAATTGGTGTCTAGCTGAGCAACCCTGATTATTGTGATCTTGTCTCCTTGGTTAGTCAAGACCAATCAATGCACGGCAAATATTTTCTTTAAATGTTGTTATAGTATATTTTTTAGATGTCAGATTTTTGGATTTTTTTAACAAAATAAAGGCATTGATCAAAGCTGTACTAAATAAAAGCTCAATAGCAAATTTTTGGAACCATCGCAAGCTTCTTCTTGCGGGATTAGAGTAACTACCCATCCGATCTGAGTAATCAATAGCACTTTTATGACGATTATAGTCCGCTATCAACGTTGGTTTCATAGTCACTTTATTGCGGTTTCTCTTGCTGCGCACGCTGACAAAACCAGGTGTATGCCGAGTTGATAGAGCCAACACATCACGCTTATCTTTCCATCGTAGAATTAACACTCCGTCTTCATTTTCCATTACACAGGTCTCACCTTTCTTCAGTTTCTCTTTCAATAACTCTTTCGGTAGTCCTTTCCTGTTCTTTCTAAGAGCCCAATAAATGAGTGTTTTTTTGTAATAAATTATTAGCCAATGTGACACTTGTATAGTAATTATCAGTTACGATACTTCTTCCGGCATTCAAGTATTTTTCACTGAGTTTCATGACTATTTCACAGGATACGTTTTGTGTGGTTGATGTAGTCTTTTTCCCTTCATAAACAATCAAGTCGTAGGTATATCCATCGTCATCGCAAATTTTAAATAATTTTATCCCATACTTATGTCGCTTTCCAGGTATATATTGCATAAAAGCAATTCGGCCACGAAAAGCCACCATTGTTTCATCAATGGTAAGAAACTCTCCAGGTGTTTTGTATTGATCAAATTTTTTTGAAAGGATCTCGACGAAGCGCCTTATTTTTATCAGTCGATCGGTTCCTGCCATGCCAAGATGATATGCATCTTCAAAATGCCAACATCGAAGTAATATTTCAAATCGGTTTCTACTCATCACTCTTTTTGCAACATTGTTTTCATATAATATGTCCGTACTCCAATAATCACTAATTTTTGGCAGTTTTTTGAGTCCCATCCAAATCAGTAAACCGAGAAATTTCTTCATTTCGACTGCATCACAGTCGTTCCACTTAGACAACCGACTGTTCCGTGTTACATGTCTGAGTATTTGTATTTTTGATGCGTACGAATCTATATCTATATCTATACTAATATTATAAAGAGGAAAGATTTGTTTGTTTGTTTGTTTCGAATAGGCTCCGAAACTACTGGACCGATTTGAAAAATTCTTTTTCCATTAGAAGCCGACATTGTCCCTGATGAACATAGGCTACTTTTTTTTTTATTTTATTTTTTTTGTTTCATGTGTGTTTTAATGTTTCCGAAGCGAAGCGAGGGCGGGTCGCTAGTTAGTCATAAGTACCATCAAATCGATAATTTCGTCATCCAAAAATAAAAATAAAAAATCTAATTCGCTTTGACAATCTGAAGCAATGTTTTTCATACCTGAATTAATAGTAAACGGAAAACGTTTTTTTCTTGAACCATCTGATGAGGGAATACTCCAGCTAGACTTTGGAATACTCTGAGATTTTGCCGCTTCTGATGAATGTTGGTATTGACGTCTGCGTGTAGGTAGTTATACGCTTCTTTCTGAAGAATTTTCATCAGAATACCTGCTCATGCTGTCTGATTCTTCGTCTGTAGACGGTTGGTAGTTTGAGTCATCTACTGAATGCGACATAATGATAAAAAATTCGCATATGTGACGAAATGCGCAAGAAACTAGTGATATTCTACAAAAAGCGCGCGAAAATGCAACCGTTGCAAGCCGTGTGGGCGGCCGGCGGGCTAATGCTTGATTATTAGGTGTGGTATGACAGACTCGAAAATAGGTTTAAGTAGTAATAGAAATTTTGTTAGATTTTGGCGCGAAACATACGGTGCGCCGGCGACCCGTACGGCCTGCTAATCTCGTTTACTGCAACATATTGGTGGCGTGTCGAAAACTCGAAAATATATGACCCGCCGGCGGACCGTATGGCGGTGAGTGTTAAATACAGTCGTTTAGGTACTTGTTTGGAGGCAAGGCACGATTTATTTTTACAGGGAATAAGGGACTAGGGAAGATAACTAATTACGCATTGGTAGGTAATGGCAGAATTCAGTGACTAACGAATATACAATACTGTATAATACTTGTAATGTAATTAGTATAAATCGATTTAAAAATCCTAGTGATGCACAGCACGTTTGAAATCAAACCAATAATTAATTATGGTGAGTTTTATTACAGTATATTAGTGATATAATCACGAGTGGCTCATACATGGCACTGGTGTTATACAACTGTCGTATTCATGAAAAATGATCTAAATTAATCGCATTAAATGTCCACTTCTGCTTACTATTACATTATTAATACATTTCATCTTAACTTAATAATTACAAGTACTAGTTCTTTACAACTTTCTAATGCATACTCAAATTCATTTTTATCATCACAATTCAGTTAATACATTTCTTAAGAGTAGATAGATATACACACTGAATAACTTTGATCAAGCTCTCTTGAAGATTTGGCTATATATTTTTTACATTTCTACATTATTGCACAAATTTATGGTTGGTGCAGCAGCATACAGGTTTACACAAACAATTAGGCCGTTGTTTACATTTTGGCTCAAATATATACAATATATTATATGTAAATAAAATATACGAAATTATAATAAAGAATTTAGAAGCACCAACCTGGACTGCAATCGTTCTATTTAGCGTAAATTGGTCACATTATATTGTCAATGAATAATCTAGTCGAATCTACGTTGTGACTGTACACTTTACAAGACGCGAGCGCCAAAACTCACTTAACCAACCAAATTATCATAACAGTTATTCGTTAAATTTATTCACAATCCATAACACATAACAACCATCAAACTATTTCCCATACTGTTATGACAAAAAAAAAGTATAACAGCGTCTATTGGCACAACCTAACAAAAAGCAGAGAGGCGATTCACAATACTAAATGTAAAAATACTTTAATGAATGTAATAATAATGTACCATAAACAATAGCTAGCCTCAACACCATTGTCATAAATGGTATAAATATTCGAACAGTAAACAGAATTTTAAAATAATAATAATCCATTGCTCACATTTCAGACTGTTTCAAATTGCTACCTATCTAAAGGTTCCTCTTTGGTTTTGATATTGATGTTATAACTGAAACAACATGGTGAGGTACCTTTTGCCCGTTCTGTTCAGTATGCTGTGTGGGCCAAGAAACTTGATTTCATATCTTTATATCTCATAATAAAATACTTATTAAAAGATTTCAGTTTTCTTTTTTTTGTTAGACTAAAAATCCTTATAAACTTAATACTAAGTAAATGCTTCATATTCATGATTAACAGTAAAATAATATACAAGTAAATAGACCCAAAAACTTTAAACAAACAGAAGTTTTAACATCGCTTGGAACCATTTTTACATTCAGATAATTTATAATAAAAACTGAAATTATCAAATCTATATTAAAGTGATTGAACATTTAGTTGAATAAAAAATATTAATTAGATCCCAATTTTATTTTTAATATCATCTGTCAGTCAAGTTACAAGAACACTAAGAATTGGTAATAATTGCATTTTGGTATTTGTTGTTGTTGAACTCATTATGTTGTTGACCCATTCTTCTATTTTATCGTAAGTTATTGTCAAAATATTTTAATGTCTTATTAATATTTTCAGTATAGTTTGAACATGTCATTTTGAGAATGACAAATATTAATCTCAAATAATATAAATCTAACATTTAGAGCTAAAAGCGTTTGAATAAATAAATATACGATATTTTAACTTATTTAGAATTAATAGTCACAAATAAAAGCAAAACTCGTAGTAGTACAAAACATTTCATATTTGAATATAAATTTCAATATAATAGTTCTGTTATAAAAGTATAGTAAGTAATACTTGTTCAGAATAAAAACGTTACCTGGTAAATGTATACCTATGGTATACCTACCTATTAAATTTCATAACATATTTTACTGTTAAAACCTTTCGTGAATTAATAACTGATACAATACACATAAGGACTGATATAAAAGAAATAACTTTAATGCAGTAAATGTTACTGGTTTTGTCACTAGAAAGGAGTTTCGCTCCTTAAAACTTATCCCATTTATGTTAAACTGTTTTAAAAATTACCGTGTAAGTAGATATTGGCGAATTTTACGATGTGTCCGACATAATCACACATCGTATACTCGGCGCGTGTTTCTAAAGAACATGCTTAAGATAATTTTCGATTAATTTTCATTTGTTGAATTTGAATATTATGGTCCTCACATGTAAAAAAATAAAAATCACTTAGTATTTACTACATACAAGCTTGAGATCCGTACGTAGAAGTGCCGATTCAACCTTACAAAATCAACATGTTTCATAATGTCTGTCTTACTTTATCCACTATCATCACAGTGAAGCTGAATCTTCATTATCATTAATAAAACTACCGTACTCTACGCTTTATAATTATTTTACAAATTACTTACGACTGCCAGTCTTTGTTTGCAGTAGAATACATGTCATTTTAAAATTTCTATTAGTCTATAATCTACATCACACTTCAACAGCAAGACAGGCAGCGAAACATGTTAAAAAAAAGGGGACGTTGACTGCTAGACCAGCCTAAAACTAGGAAACACTACACAATTTATTGTTAGTGGACTCTTTTTATTTAATTTCTTGTAAAAATATGATCACTATATAGCATAGTCTAGAATGAAGCGTCCGTCGCTGGGGGAGCCACTGTAGCGGGGGGGCACCGCGGTGGCTCCGGGTGGCCTGGGGTCCGCTAGGAGCGAGGTAGGCGGGCAGGTGCCGCCAGCCTGTGTTAATGTCCCTTAGCTGCTTCTTTTGCTGCCATTATCAGAGGTGTTAAAGAAGCTAGCGGGCGAGCCATTTTCAAAAATGGATGCTGCAAATATTCGTTATTTTTATTATTCAACAAATTAATAACGATAGCAAAATATTTTATTAGTAAAAAGCATTTTGAAATTTATTTATAGAAATTATTTTCGTAATACCTTCAGTAAATCTAAGGCAGTAGCTCGCCTTTCGACGTCTACCTCCAGGCACTGATCCAAAAAGTCTTGAAATACTGTACTAAGTTTATCTTTGTCTTTAATATCGGGTTTACCATTTGTGGCTATAAGATACAATGCTCGTAGTGGATTCTCATTCAAGTAAGGTGGTTCACCTTCAATCATTTCGATTGCCATTATGCCCAATGACCATACATCTACCTGCAAACGTTAACATATTTCAATAAATCAAATTAAAATCTTAACTTTTTTTTATTGCTTTGATGGGAGGACGAGCTCACAGCCCACCTGGTGTTCAGTGGTCACTTGAGCCCATAGACATCTACAATGTAAATGCGCCACCCACCTTGAGATATAAGTTCTAAGGTCTCAGTGTAGTTACGACGGCTACCCCACCCTTCAAACCGAAACGTTGTGATATCTATGGGCTCCAGTAACCACTTAACATCAGGTGGGTTGTGAGCTCGTCCATCCATCTAAGCCAGTGATTCTCAACTTTTTTTTTGTTGCAGCACATATTTAACGATTTCAAAATTTGGCGGCACACAAAAAAAAAGATAAAAATTATTTACTTACTACAACACACTGCATAAATAGTTTATCAAAAAATTTTAATATACGAAATAAACTACAATATACTATAAAAACATTTTTGTGGATTTAAATATATTATACTCATGTTTAAAATATTTTTCTTTTAAAATGATATAATTTAATAATATTAACATTATTATATATTCGCAAAATTTGGCGGCACACTTTTGAAATTTGGCGGCACACAAAAGTGCCGCGGAACAGTGGTTGAGAATAACTGATCTAAGCATTAAAAAAAAAAAAACTTGTTTATTGTTCAGTTTAAAAAATATAGTAACTATATAGCAAAAGAGCATAATTTGACTGGTGTTAAGTCGTATTATATGCCCAGAAAGGCTATCACAACCCTGGTCCGAAGCAGTCATTTGTTCCGGTTTAAAGCATGGATATAAAACAATTGAGACTTTAATCTCATCTCTCAAAGTCGGAAAGGTCATTCACGTTGTGAAGTAAAGGCTCCTGTAACAACTTTACAACAGGTGGGCTGTGAGCTTAGGCAGGCAATAAAAAATATATTTATTGATATATTTCGTATATTTATTGATTTACCCTTATGAATGCTTTCATGTAATTATAAAGCTTACTGAAAATCTCAATTAAGTTTCGATAAATTATTTTCGAATAGTTTTGTATTTTTTTTTCATTTCACATTTTTTATCGATTCATACAATTTCATTTGAAAAGAATACTAGAACTGGCATGAATTATTAACAATTATAAAACTAAATACATAATAATTCCGTTGCCATTTTTGGATTACTTAGAAATTTAGTTTTATTGCTTATAGTAATCGGCAAACTTCTTGAGCAAATGACCTTGACTGCGCAGAACCGAATTTTAGGTCACTTTGGTGGTGAGGGTGAGGCGCGACGGCAGGGGAAATCGTATCGAGCGCGTTATTGGTAGATCAGTCGAACCTTGCGTCCCGCACCGCGCCCTCTTTCCGCTTGCTCCCAAAAGTACGCTTGCGTACAGTGGAAAGTCTATCGTTATTAATCGTTAAGTTATTTGTTATAATTGCTTGTGGACTTTGTTGCCATTGCTATTTGTTGAGTGTTTGTTGATTTTTTATAAAACATACACTATGCCGTGACAAACTGGTGTAGTACTTAAAAGAAAGGGTAGAAAATTTGTGTACGACGTATATTGCTTCATTATAAAACAGGGGAAGAATGATATGGAAAAATTAAAACAGACTTCGGAAGCAACAAAAACATCAGTGAGTACTGTTAGGTGCATTATTAACGAAGCTAAAGGCTCTGGCTTGCTCGCCGTGTTTCGGACTCCGGGTAAGAAAAGATCAGGGAAGAAGAAAGTTACCGGAATGGATAGTTTCGTTCAATCTGTAATAAAAAGATGTAATCATAATAACTACATAACAAGCAGCGAAACTCCGTACCGTAGAAAGGCTTCGAAGAATTTAAAGAAGATATAAATTTTAATGGCTCGGAACGAAGCTTACGACGAATTATGAAAGAGCTAGGCTTCAGATGGAAAAAAAGAACAGAAAATAATCGGAAGCTGGTAAATGAAAAAAGTAACATTCGATTACTACGAATCGAATATCTTCAAAAAATAATTATTTATAGACAAAAAAGAAGACCGAATCGACCGAGTTGTAAACTACGCCGATGAGCCCTATGTCGACTCATCACGATGATAGCGACTCGGGTGATGAAAACAGTGATGATGATGATGGTCAAGATTATGATAACGAAAAAAAAATTACAAATACCAGCTACGCTTTAACTGAACCAAGACCTGGCAACAGCTCTAGTTTTGACTTAATAGAAGGAATATCTATTTTACCCCAAGATTAAATTATTACAATTATTAACCTATATGTTTTGTTGATGTTATAATAAATATATAAATAAATACATATGTTGATTTTAATAATTTAATAGCATTATGACGCAGAGTAAGTAATGTTTTTGCACGTGAGTGTACCATGCGCAAACTTACCCCCACTACGTCAACAAATGCTCAAGAAGTTTGCCGGTTATTATAAATATAGTTTTAACATTTATATTAAAACTTCACCAATAAATTCTTTCAATTGAAATTTGGCTAATTCAGACTTAAAAATAACAAAACAGGCACTCAATATATCAAATAAATATGTACCAATAACAACAGAGTTCAATTGATACCGAATTCATATTGATATTTGATATAATATGAAATATTAGTTGACCAATGACTTACAGCTTGACTAGTGCTAGTGCTAGATGAAAAGTCGTACAAAATAAAGGTTTTCTGTCGAGTTTCGCCATGATCAATATGAGTTATAATTAAATAGATACAAAATAAAGCTACCTTAGGTCCATATTGCTTTCTCGTCACGACTTCAGGCGCCATCCAGTACGGCGTACCAACCATTGTCGTTCGTTTATTTTGTTCGGGCGATATTTGAGCACAGAAACCAAAATCAGCTGTAAAACACAATCTGAATTAAGAATATCATCACTTATTTTCTATATTATATAAAATTTATTGCAGATGGCAGGGCGTAATGAGCCTACTCAGATACATGCTACCCGTTTCGCCGTAAAGTCTTGCGTTCCAGTTTCAAGGGTTAGACAATAATGAAATAGTGAAATATTACTGAAATTGACTAAATAATGCAAAGGCGACAGTCACGTCGTGTGATGTCAATAGATTCCAATAATTAATTAACACCAGGAAGACTTTTTTTAAAAAGGACCAGATTTAAAAAAAAAAAAAAAACAGTTTGCATTTATTCAGGTTTTGTAAAAATTTCAACATCAAAATGCTACTTACTGAGCTTGACTTGTCCATCGAGACCCAACAATATGTTATCAGACTTAATATCTCTGTGTATGACGTGGTTGGTGTGAAGAAAGTGTAACGCCTGTAGTACTTCTCGACAGACGGCGGCTATCTGACCTTCGTCCATGCACGTCTCGGTCACCACGTCGGTCAGTGAACCACCTGCTAAATACTCCATTACAACCCATAACTCCTGCAATGTATTAGCCAATGTTGTAATATGTCCAATAATCATTAGAATTTACGTTCTTCTCTTATTTCGAATTAACAATCTTTTTTAACATATTAAAAGAAGATAAGGAAAAATGAGTAAGCCCGTATTTTTTCTTTTCCTGAATTAATTTAGTTCATATTTTAGATTCACTTTGAATTTTTTCTTTTGCGCCAATGATTCGACTAACGGATCGGAATCAGGACCCTCTGAGAAAATACAAGAAGAAACTTAGTAAGTTGATGCTATAGGCTAGGTGTCACATCGAAATCTTCGACGACTACGATGCCCTGTGGTTTGGATACTACCGTCCAAAAGTACAGAGAGTGGATTGGAGAGATGACGTGTTTAACTTAAGGTACATATATTATTAACAGAAACCATTAAAGCCCTCACCTCATTGACAAGGTAGCTGTCGAGATAATTGACAACATTATTGTGTTTATTCTCCCGCATCACAAGGATCTCGTTTATGATGAGTTCCTTCTTTGGTTGTTGGCTCAGATTCATCTGTTTTATGGCCACTTCCATTCCCGTAGATGTTTCTATCGCTGTATAAACTGTGCCTGATGCTCTGTACAATAATGTTCAAATTAGTCAAATAAATATGCAATCTATTTCATTAACTAAATATAAATTTACATTTGTTAATACATTTGAGTTTTTATTTACATATCAAACATAAAAATAGCCCCAATTATAATAATTAAATTTACGCCTTACCCTTGACCAATTTTTTCCATTTTGGTGTATTTTCTGTTAGGATCGCCGACGCTAACAATTGTTCTTAATTTTTCTAAGATTTCTTCATCTGTCATTTTCTTTTTCCTTTGCTGCTGTCCTGTCGCTCGTCTAAGGTAAAAAATTCTTTATGTATTTCTATTAAATAATATTAACGCACAACCATCGCACATTCTAACGACTTTTACAGTGAATTTCTTCAGTTTTGTATGGTAATGAAAAACTTTCAACTCATATTTGATCAAATAACATACCTCAGGATCATTGTCCTGTAGCAGTAAAGAAACATCGTTTTGAAATGGAGTATTACAAATCTTTATAATTAATAAGTAATTCAAAAGGTACTGTGCCACAGGTGTGCACAAATAAAATCATGTGTGTATGATACTGTTATTATAAATTAGGTAAAGTAAACTATAGTTTAATGATTCACAATTATTATTATTGGCAGGCCAAAATTGTGATTTCCTCTCCAAATACCAATTTCTTCAGTAAATAAACCGATTCTGATCGGTCATATAATCTGGACCTCGTGGTATAATTAACAGGGGTTTCGAATCACTAGAAAACTAAAAAGCGACCGTCCAGTAAGCATACGCACATGAATTTTTGAAACAAATTCAACAAATTTCCATTGCAGGCAATACTAGTCAGTATACTAGATGTTCTGTTATATTTTTTGTTTCAAATTTTGATGTAAAAGGTGGTAGTAGTTTTATAGTCAACCACAAAATTTATAGTATTTTTAAATACGGTGTGACAAAGAAATAGTTGCACCAATTTTATCGATCATGCTTCATCTAAAGACACGAAACGTTGTGTAGCCATATTTTATTCTTAATGTTGAGAAACTCAGTATCGTTTTCACATATGCCTTTAAAAGTTCCGTTCAGAAGTGAAAGCCTTTCGATCATGCTTCTATATTCCGATCATGCTTTTTGGCATAACTCTTTAGTAGTATTGTAACATATCCATTTAATATTTATCAAATATGATCAGAAAATTATTTATTTATTTATTACAGTTAATGTATTTATTGGCGAACTCAAAGCTTAAGGTAATCTCTGCCAGTCAACCAAAAGTAGCAGCAAAATAATGGTGCATTAAAAAACAAATTAAACATACAATCATATACAAATATATAGGCCATAAATTCAAACATGAAATCAATACATATATGTACACAAATATACATACTATACATTATAAATTAGTGTTTTATGGTGATTTTTTAAATATTATCACTGTTCTCTTGTTTTCCGAAATGGTTCTGTTACGTTTTGTTTGTAAAAGAAACACTTAATTCCAGAATCAACAAATTTCTAACATACCCAGTCTCGGTGTTGGTCTGCGCGGGTGGTGGCGCCACGGGTACGCCGGCCGGTAGATTTTTATTTCGATCTAATGACACTACGCCGCCTTCCGCACGACATACCTTCATCATAAATAATAAAGAGGTTTAAGTAATTTGACACTACAGATCAAAGAATGACATTTATATGAATCATATCAATGAATTCTTATTTAAAAACGAATTATAGTGTGTATTCAAAATATACTAAATATTTCTAATACTTCCGACACTTTTTGTATACAGTGCAAATATTTCAAGACACTAACAGAGTGCGTGGTCACGGCAGAGTGCGATATATGTGGCGGCGGTGACGAGGGAGTAGTCACAGCCGCTGGCGCCGGAGCTGGTCGCGGTGGTGGAACTTCTTCTTCCTCTATTGGCTTTGTGTACTATAAATTAGATTTTTTCGTTCGCATTATAATTGATACTTTAACATATATCAAAATCATACTGTTTTCATGTATATAATAAAATTTACCGCAAGTAATTTATTATGCTACTATGTAACTTAATTTTGAAAACTGTAGTAAAAAAACACCTATTGCCACTGTTACTGTGTGGGTTCATGTTCGTAGGATTGGCCAAAATAACCATAAACTATGGACTATCCAGTATCAATTCATTTCTAACTTTCCATGTACATTTTTCCTAAGAACAAATCATTGTTCATGATTTAAATAAATATGCATGTATATTATTATACTTACAATACTTTTAGTGCGGTCTGGTCGTGACGGTGGTGGTGGGGGAGGTTCTGGATGCTCTGTGTCGGTAGGTGTAGATGAAGATGGACTACTCGATGACACTCTTGATACTGAGGAACCTTAAAATAATTTTAGAGTCAATTATACTCAATTTAAATTCCCATATTTTCATCCTAGATGAGATAAATTTATATTACAAAAATTTAGTGAAAATCCAGCAAGCATTTTCACTGAATCTTTTATGATTGTATACATTTTTCGCAAATTGCTTTATATGTAGTTTGACAAATTATTATTCATCATAAAAACTTTGTCACATATTTTAGTGTGCCTAATGCCAACTGCCTATAATCGCCACAAAATCAATCTAAAGCAAATTATTTCTAGGGTACATAAATGTTAAATATATTAATAAGTATGTTTTAAACGAATAAGCTTGGATTTCCGTCAAATTAAGTTTGTTCACATACATAATTCCAAACAGCCATTAAACGGCTTCTGGTGAAAGTAATGAGAAACAGGATTTTACAGTCATTTAATATTTGTTTTTTATTAGCACTGTTAATCAAATGAATTCGCCTGGTGTAAAGTTACAACAGAAAATCTGTATAATGCAACCCATCTCTAGAGATATGAGTATAACCTATGCCTTAAGACTTAAGGAATGGTGCTTCCTTCACAGCAGAAATAGTCAGGTTGACAACAATTAGGAGTTTATGTCAACGCCCTTATCGCATTACGCAAGATAAGTATAAAGAGGATACTTAGACCGGTAAATAAGATAAGAATACTTACTACTACTACAGACTGATGTTGAGGAAGTAGTAGCAGTAGCTCGAGAAGGCCGGGGTCGCATTCCCGTATCTTCTGATAAATGGCCAGAGAAACTATTATAATGTAAGATAAAGTTGGCTCTGGACTGATAAACGTTGAGGCGGTGTTTCAGGTCTTTTATTTTACTTTAATTTTAAAATATTATATTTAATTATAAAATATTTATTTTAATAATATATTGGTTTAAATGATAAAGTTTGTTATTTTTATCAATAATAATTAGTAAAAAAAATGTTTGCCAACAGTATGTGGCGTTTTTTCTTGGCCATTTAAGTGAATGTAAAATTTATCTAATGCTTATGTCACTAAACCGATCAAATAATAAAAAAACCTGCAGTTCATACGATTTTGCATTCTAAATTACGCACTTACAAGTCAATGCTTGTAAGCGATTGAATTATTCAACTGGATATACATATACAGTGGTGCTCATAGAACTAAGAACGCTTATTTGAAGGGAAGATTTTTAAACTATCAAGTAAACTAATTGCATGTATTAGTTTGTATTTCGCTATATATCACAAATGTTTCCACAATAGCGGTACATTTGTTATAACATGTGGTGGTTAAAAAATAAATAGATTAACTTTATCTGTTAGATCTAAACTTAGTATTACTACTTACTGACTGATCAGATAATTAAGAATGTTGAATAGTTAATTTTTTTATTCAAATTTAACTAGACAACGCTTTGTGATCGCTACATATTTGTATGATTTTGACTCTATTTAGTGCTGTAAAGTTTTCTTGATGCACTTCATATTAATATGATTTAATAAAAGCATACTAAAAACAACTTTAGAGAAGTCCAATAAACCTTTCTTGACTGTTTGTCCAGCTTCATTAATATTGGAATTTGTTACTATAGAGAATAAATTGAATTTACAAAAACAAAATATACATTTTTTTTCTATATCCCTAATCCTGTTTGCTCTATTCATGTGGCGATTTAATAACATAACTAGGTACTTCAAGGAAAGAACAAGTAACTATACATAATATTTTATGATTTAGATAAAAAAATCTGGAACTTCAAAACATTCTTAATTATATAGCCACAACTGTAAACAACATATACATTTTTTTTGTTTTAAAAAATTATCTTAGAAATTTTTATGAGTAATAAGAATAAGAAGAGTAATACAATTAAAATTTTGGAATGCTTTGAACAAACAGTCTATTAGAGAAAACTCGAAATGAAAACTGGCAGTAAATATTAAAGAATGCCCTCCAATAATAAATAAATTTATTATTTGATGAAGATATTTACCTGAATGCGTAGTGTGCATCTGAGCTGAAGTCATATACTTCGAAGGAGGAGGTTGAGTTGCAGATGCATCATACCATTTCAGTACATCTAATACGGCCTGTGGATTGTTCTTCTGTTCTTGTTTACTAATGTTTGCAGCCATCAGAAGCCGCGCCCATGCCTCTGGCATACCCTTTAATAAACCATATGATAATTCAAGAAACTATTTTGATAAAAATAAATTATTTTCATGATAAAAAAGGTTCATCTTGAAAGTTTAGAAGGTCAACATTTAAAATGAGAATTAATGCATGCTTTGAAAGTACATAAATGGTACAATTTGCATAATAATAATATATTGTAGTTGGCATTTTGGATTGTAACAATTGCATTTTTTGTAATCATATGTAACTAATTTAATTTAGTATTATGTATATACAACTACAAAAACCAAAGTTAAGGTGTCCAAAGTGAGTGATTGTTTATGGAGGGTTACATTTTTCAAGTATATCTAGGGTTGAAAGCTGATTATTTGGTTTAAGTGTCATTTTGCAACTTTACAGGAGAGCCATTAAAAGTTTAAAACAATTATCAATTATCTTTACAAAAGAACTACCTCAGCTATTTCAATGGAGTAAACTTAATTGAAGTTTATTCAAAACCATTCAAAGTGTTGATGGTAATACTAAATAAGACGCACCTTTAATTACAAAGACATAATTGCATATTCAGCAAAATGTTGCTTAAACCAAATAGCCTTTCACTTCTCGATATGTATGTGTGTATGCCTACAGCCTAGACCCTTTCATGGATTTCAAACACTAAAAATCACAAAAAAAAATGTACTATATTATAAATATAATGTGAACAAGCAATTAAAGTTTTAAAGAACAGTGTATCAAATTTTGGATTTTCAAAGTATATTAAGCGTGAAGCAGAAATTAGCAGTGTTAGCAAATAATTTGATTGAAAAACATTTTACTTAACTGGAAATAACAAAGAAAAAGTTTATTTAAATAGTCCAATGACAATACATGTTAATGTTATAAAGAAGTACTAATACAAAACATATATAAGCTATTACTTACTGTTATAGGCAGCTTGAAACAAAAGCGGTAACTTATGGAGCTTCATTTACATTGTGTTCATAGATATATTCATATTTTTATGGCACTGTTGTTCAATCAACATTTTCAATAACTAATTTCATAATCACAATTCATTTATCTAAATTAGTATTACCATGTCTACTCAATATAGTTTTATATTTTAACATGCTTAGGATTTTTTTGCAAATTATGGATACAATTTAATATTGCAAATCTGCATGGCTCTTATCTACTTTTGATTTTGCTCTGTAAGCCACTCTTAAAGCAAAGCATTGAAGCTATTAGGCAAATTGTGTAGGCAATATTTTATAACTTAGTCTATGTTGCAGCTTTTTCACTTTGACAAGTTTGTGAGCCAATGATTAGTTGTGCTAAAGTGCATTAGTTTTCCAGTTGTAATACAAAAGTTACTCAACATATGATAACAAAATCTACTAACTTCTGGATTCATTAATTTTACTTTGAATTTGCAGTAAAATAAAATTTAAAAATGATTTGATGACTTATAAGTTGATATACTTACAGTGAATTCCCCTGTAACAGCATCAAAACCAACATGAACTGTGTGTTCAAAGTTTGTTGGATAACTAATATTTGGTTTATTATCATTGTGTGCTGTACTCTTTGATCCTTTTATTTTTGCTTTTAGTGTTTTCTTTTTCCTATCACTACCATCATCAGGCTCTGTAATTGAAATCAATTATATTGAAATTAAAACAATTGGTGATTTGAATATCTTTTAATGTCTGCACTACTCTGCACATACATTAAAATATTATTAGATTATCATTTATCGTAACTTATAAAACAATGATTAGTTTGGTTTTAAATTTGGATTATTAGTTGAAAAAGGGTTCAGTGTTACCTTTCGGAAGAGGTCTCATGTCGACTGAAGCTACAGAGTCTACTCTATCAGTGGCACGATTACTTGTCAGACGCACCGGTGGTGCAGGCGGTTTATCTTCGTCACTCGACATATCGAATCTAGGCCTGGCTGCCAACAAACAAACTAGTTAAAAATATTTAAGGGTGTTTCATTTGGGTACTACGTGCGAATTATTTGCTTACAATGACAGTTTTAGAATGACTCACAAGATTATGTTCGCTTATTAAACGAACGCAAAAGATAAGTGCAAAGAATGGATGAAATTTTAACCAAAAACAAAAAGGAAATCGGCATATTACTCATGGACGCGCCCTGGTCGTAGGGTTTGAGACTGCGACAAAACGCTGTACAATTTGCTTGAATGAAATGCGTACTTACCCGTTTTTTTAAATATTAAATGTTTTATGGAGTTTCGTAGAATGAATATATAACATTTCTAAATCTTACAACACTTTGTATGACTTATCACCTATGAGAGAACTATTTTTTAAATTCAGACACATCCAAAGATATCACTGACGATGACTAGAGCCGCCATTACCGCCACAGATCACACTCATTTGCAATAATACCACAAACCAAATATCAAGCTCCAGTAAGAAGCTCAAGAGAGCTGCTTCAATTATTATTCTCATATTTCTATTTATCAAAATATCTCAATGGCTTGCGATGCACAACAGCTGAGCCTGAGACGTTCACGAATCGCAATTGTAACAACGCAAAATGTTACAGTATACATAATACGATATTTTTTATTGTTTAGAGGGGTCGACGAACTCACGGCCTATCTGGTGTTAAGTGGTTATCGATGTCTATAGACTTCAATACCGTAAAGGCTGCCATCCACAATGAGACATGAGTTCTAAGTTTCAGTGTTGTACAGTACAGGAGCTCATAGACATCTACAACGCTTAGTATAGTTACAACAGCTGCCCCACTCTTCCAATAGAAACGCATTACTGCTTCACGGCAAAAACAGGCAGGGCAGTGATACCTACCCGTGCAGACTCACAAGACACCCTACTACCAGTCGCACCTCGTCTATGTCAGTTTCTTGAAATTTCTATTTGTTTATAGTTATTTTTACTTTTTTACTACATAACGAAATGAGTTACTGTGCCATTGGCATAGATGGTAATAATTCAATACAATTCAGGAATTAACCCATATTATAATTATTTAAAAATATTAGCAACCCAGTAGCTGACTAAGTAAAATTGTTCAATGATTAGATTAAATGAAAAAATGTTTCAGTAAAATGGTAATAATTTATTAAGCCTAGACTTTTAAGGCTGAGAAGCTTCATCCATCGTCTTTGTTTCATTTCGTAACGCTTGCTCTTTTTCACTGATGCAAAATGGTTAATAAGCCACCAGTTTAAGACGTCTAAATAAGAAGAAACACAACATTTAAATTATTAAAACTTCACAAAACTTTTTTGGACTTAGTGCTAAAAGTTTTATTAACGTAGTTCAACAAAATAGAAAGTTGTGAATTCGATAGGTAGCCAATGAAAACAACAAAATCGGAATTTGTGGAATAAGAGATTGCGGAGAATACCTTGAATTAAAAGCAACACTAGTGGTCATGTCATAGATAACTTAAGCTAAAAGACTGCTGCTGGTTGTCAATTAATTCTTCGGAGTAAACATAGATTATACCCTTATGAGGGCCATAAGGAGTAAATAATAATACGTGTAATCAAATAATATTGTTGAATGGAGTACCTACCTATTTAATATTTTCAAATATAAACTCCCGATTGAGATGAAGAAATAGGTTTTGCTCCTAACAAGAAAATAAATTTCATGATGGAAGCGATTCAGAACCATCCGGTTAGAAAAAACATTTTTAAAACAGCTTAATGCAGAATTTTGCAATTTAGAAGAAAAAAAGAGCGTAACAATTGATTAATTTATGATACAGAATAAAATGTTATCCTTGTTCCTTAATTGTATTTTGTAATATAAGTTTCAATTAATTAATTTAATTGTAATCATGTGATTTAAATGTATAATGTTTTAATCGCATTACAACATCCTTATAGTTGAAATGTTTTTAATAATAAAAGAGTGGTGGGCCTTTATAACCCAAATTCTTTAGAAACGATTACTTTATTTAGGTACCTGTCATTGAATATTCTTAGCCTCCTTGAGACAGATGTGTTTTCAGAGCAGTGAATTTCCTTTACTTAGTGCTTTTCAGGAATATATTCTGTAATCAACATGAATGTTAAATACCTAGACTATTTACCTAAAAGCCTTTATTATTTTAATTCAAGAGTCAAGATGGACCACCAAAAAAGAGTCCTTTCGATGAATTAAGCAGAGAAGATTTGATCCATAAATGCAAGGGTTTACTTGTAATAGCTCAGAAAGCTAAGCAAGCTAAATCAGGTGAGTACTGCTAGATAAATATGTTAAATAATAAAAAGTATGTTAAATGCAGTAATAACTAAATCCAATTAATGCACTTTTAAACTTTTTTCCATAATTGTGTACATTGAGGCTCTGATTGGAATTAAGTTTGTTTAAATGGTTACTGATACAATTTCTTTATGCAGAAGGGTGTTCTTTGACTACTATCAAATATAGATGTTCACATGTTTTTTGTGTGCATTATTTATTTATTACACTTCATGCATATTAATGTGAATTGGTGGACTTAATGCCTAAGGTATTCTCTCCAGTTAATTAAAGTTGATAAATTAAAGAAAAATTAGATTCTATACAATCATCGTCATAGACTCACTCTTGGCAGAGTAGTCATGGTCATGTGGAATCCTTGTTTATTAAAGCCTTGACAGCTGTTCTCTGTAATTCTATACAACATGTTTGTTTGTTTGTACAACATACCATGCTTATTAACCCATTAATGCTGCTTTTTTAAATTATTAAACTTTGAAATAGATGTTCTTCTGAATGTAATTAAAGTAAAAATGATAAAGTTGATGTATGCTTATAATTTTATGTTATCTATTGTAGCAAGATGTGCTTTCTCATTACTATAGCATTATCCAGCCATTATGCTATAGTAAGAATACTTTCCTTTGAACAAGGTTGCTGTTTGAAATACCTCTTTCTTCTTTTTTTTGCCTGAGTCAAGTGATCTTTTAATAGTACTCTGCTTTCTCTGAACATACCAGTGCCATTATAAGCAGGCTCACATAAATGTATAAGCATTGAGACACTAGTAAATAGATTATCAAAATACAGTTTGTTCTTGTTAATCTTCTGGAAAATTATGCTATTCAGATTTCTCTCCTGATATATCTTAAAACGCAATAAAAGTTGACATTCACTAATGTTGTCTGATCACAGTGATCTTTTCTGAAATCTTCATTAAAAAATTGAGCACATTCTAGCGCTTCTATACAAATTGCTTTAGCAAGCTCTTTTGGCATTATCCAAGAAGTCTATCACATCTTTTAATTGTCCCTAAAAATAAATGAACTCAATGCTTGTTCAATGAGAAATGTATATATTTACTCTGAGCGCTTAGGGTGTTCATATGAACACATTGAACAAACAGTATGTATAAAAATCACAACAACAACTACATAAAATAGAACTAAAATCATTAAATCATAAAGTCTTTTTGATAGTGAACTAAAATGAAAATAATGAGTAATGTTGAATAAATTTATTTTTACTTGTCATTCAATTCTGTCTCCAGTTCTAAATCAGAAAAATCATTGTACCTGGTTCCATTTATAAAATATTAACAAGCTAAGTCGTTCCGAATTATATTGTTGGTATTCCTATTAATACAAAACAAGGTGTTAAAAGAATAAACAACAAAATATAAACAACTCAATTTACAGTAATAAACATATGTATATTTTAGCAGTGATCATACTAACACGCACAGTGTTAATGGGTTAAATAAGCATACAGAAATACATAAATTTAAATAAATACATTGAAAATTGTAAGAAATTAATGTTAAATATATGAATTTAATAATTATACCTAATACACAACTAAATACATAATTTTACCATACACGTTTACACATATTACTATACTTCGATATTGACTTTGAGATGGTTCTGTCATTTTACATAAAATCTTTTATCATTTATGATGAACCAATGCATACTCAGTAATGTTTTAAGCTTGGCCTTGGAATGACTGGATATTGGGAACTAATGGGTAATATCTATAATATTAAGTTTCTACATAGAAGCTAATGCAGGTTTTTAAATCAGATGCTAATCTCATCTTAGTTTTTTTACAAGAGAGTCTACCAGGTAAGATGATTCCATAAGTTACATTACAGACTGTAGGGAATGTTGGTGGAATGTGGCAGTTACAACCTGTCGGTAGCATTCTAAAATAGACAAATGTTTAAAAAAAATATAATGCACTGGTGGCCTAGCGGTGTTGTGGTGACCATATTTTTTTAAGCAAGCCTTGGGTGATGTCCATTCATCAGCCACTTCCTTATCAGCAACATAATTGTTATTGTATAAATTATTGTGATTATTAAAATGTAATATTGAAAATTTTATAGAATTACAAGCTGAATTAGAAACTAACAAAAATAAAGTTGAGAAATTGGAAAATAGTGAAAAAAATAACAAAGAAAATTTAAAAACTCTTCAAGAGCTTGTTGATTCTTTGACAGAACAAAAACTAAACTTCATAACTGAAGTTGATTCAGCTCATACAAAAGTAAAAGAACTAAATAAAAAAGTCAATCAATATAATGAAGAAATAAAGCAGTACAAAGCTGATTTGATTGTGAAGGACAATAAAATATGCATGATATCTCAAAAATTATCAGATCTGGATTGTGAAATAATTTCATTGAGAAGACAGAATACTAGACTTTTAGAAGAAAATGAACAGCTGATTAATCAACTCTCTGAAATTGAAGCTAAAACTGTGGAGGTGAACAATATAGGTCTTCAGCAGCAGGAACAATTAAAGATTTTAGAAGAAAATGTACAGAAAGGTAAAGAAAATTTTTGTTCATCATGGCAAAAAAAGTTATCCAAAGGGCATACTAATGTTTGCGGCTTGGCTCTACCCCTGGCATTGCTGACGTTCATGGGCGACGGTAATCTCACCTTCAAGTGGGCCGTATGCCTACAAGGGCAATAAAAGTATATTGACAGTAGTATATAGGGCAAAAGTATATGGCTAGTGATTACTATCACTGTCCATCAAAGGTGCTTTTTTGGCACCCAATGTCATTAATAAAAAAGATACAAGACTGAGGTTAACATGTTAAAAAAAATTACAATTGCTTTGGTCCATCTGATGTTAAGTGGTTACTGTCGGACGTGCACACTACCTATTTCAGGGGTATTATAATTTTAACACTTACAATAATAACAGTAATTCAGGGTAACAAACATTAACTCAGGGCGTATTATAATTTTGTGATGATTAAAAATAACTTTTAGATTCAGAAAATTGCAAACAAATAGAAGAGCTTCAATTGAAAATTATAAGTTTAGAAAAAAAACTTGAATCAGAAAAACAAACAAAGATTGTCGATTATGAAAATAAGGTACAAGAATTCACTGAAC